GAAAACCCTCTATAAATTAGAATGGGTAAGTTACTAGAAAGACTGAACGTTGAATAGTAGGAGGCTGTTGATATATCCTTCATTTATTTTCTCGATTTGCCAGTATTAATAACTACCATTCTTCCCAGTATCAACACCGCTGTTAACCCCTTCCCCTTTCAGCGGCACTATTACCTTACTACACCACCATCACCTCAGAATAACAAAACAAAATTGACCCCAGCAAAATACTACAGACTGCACTACTATTAGCAAAACAACGCTAGACTCACCAACAACAACACTACTATTTATAAACCACTGCCTGCAACATATATCAATGTTATTAGTTTCCTTCCCGTGTGTGCCAAGAGGAAAGTATACTGTAGTTGTGTGGACGGGTTAAGTCTATATGTGTTCGTTCCTCCCACGGGCGTCTCATTAGAGAGAAGAATATCCGATACAAGGGTGTTGTTAGGGGGTGGGGCTTGTTGAAAATACTTTTATATTTTTGTATTCCCGAGTGTTTGTTTTAGCCACACTGGTGTTCTCGGGTATGGCGTATTTATTCCGTGTGTTAAGAGGAGTAACACCATTGTCGTGTTCCTATTTAGAGAATTGAGATAACTATCAGTATGTAAAATCTTTAACGGGTTCTCTACGGTTGAATTTAGACTAACTACTGAAGAGGGTCTGTTTATATTTAAGTGACTAGATGACCTTATGGGGGTGTGAAAGACCCCCCCCCCTCCCACACACATACGTCACATAACCTTGCACTATCTACTGTGACCCCCACCACTCCATGCCCCTCCTGTATCTTGTTAAGCGTTGTACCATTTGATAATACACTTCTTCCTTGTTTGAATGGTGGAGTAAGAATAAGATAGTGTTGGTAAGGATGAGGTTTACAAGTATCGCAACAATGCTGTTTTCAGTATAATTCGTAAGCGTGTCTACCCATAAACAACTCGTGCGCACCGAGATGCGCGCAGTCACACACGAACACTACAATACCTGCACCTGCCTCTCAGACGCCTCTTGGGGGCCATCCTAGCCTTAGCTATTATTGTCTGTGGTGACGTACACTGTGTTGATCTTATGACCGACTGTGATATGCTTTACTGTTTCTATTATTGTCTGCTTACACATTCAGTATATTCGTTTAAGCCAAATTGTACTTCTGTTGCACTGTAGCTATTTTTGACGGTAGAATGTACTTTAGTGCTATACGTAGTTATTCCTTCAACTCATTGTACCTATTTCACTACTACTACTACTAATAATAATAATCATAATCATCGAAGATACACATGGTGATAGACAAGCTTGGAACGATGGCTGTTATTGGTCGATTCACTGTCCAATGAAACGCTGAGTAATGTATCGCGTTGGTGTACACCTTATTTTCATATCATTTAGTATGAAATAATTCGCTTAGTTATATGAAAATTTAAAGTACTTTATTACTTTTTAGTGTATAACAATGCATGCAAGTGAGTTATGTTTGTGTAAAACGTTTTCGTATATATAATTTATCAGTATCACTACAGTTATTTTTACGAGACCAAAAACATTTCATTCACATGGTCAAGTTCATCCGCTAATCGGATCCATTTTTCTGGAGACTTTACCGCATGTACAGTCTCGTTCAAGATTCTTCGAACACTGCTGGAGACACGTTGGCAACTCAAGGCAGTTTGTTTACTATAGTACGTAGTAAAAATTATGAATGAATGTAAAATTTGATCTGTGATTGGTTACTTAGTTCCCCCGTTGCTTAATTAATGGCTGGGCTTTGTTCTTTCGTATTATATTACACTACGTACTGTAGTAAACAAACGGCCTTGAGTTGCCAGCAGTGTTCGAAGAATCTTGAACGAGACTACAGTAAGAGGTTTTTATGGTCACTGTTCCTGGTATCTAAAGGTATCAGAATGGTTGACTTCTGCTAAAACACGCCAAGAACTGCGCATGCACAGGGCATTTTCAGCACGCCTCGCCGAATTTTAGATGGACGGGGATAAATGATGTGGAGTATGTGTCGTGTAGTTTCGTAGTGTCATGTGTGTCGTGCTTTCCGTGTAGTGTGTATGAAGAAGTCAAGTTAAGTCTCAGTCGGGGAAGGCGTGGCGATGGAGACGATGGGATGAATTTCTTGTAAGGGTCAAGACAAAAGTCGTAACCCTGGCCTCTTTTCCCCCCCCCCCCCCCCCCCCCCCCCCCCCCCCCCCCCCCCCCCCCCCCCCCCCCCCCCCCCCCCCCCCCCCCCCCCCCCCCCCCCCCCCCCCCCCCCCCCCCCCCCCCCCCCCCCCCCCCCCCCCCCCCCCCCCCCCCCCCCCCCCCCCCCCCCCCCCCCCCCCCCCCCCCCCCCCCCCCCCCCCCCCCCCCCCCCCCCCCCCCCCCCCCCCCCCCCCCCCCCCCCCCCCCCCCCCCCCCCCCCCCCCCCCCCCCCCCCCCCCCCCCCCCCCCCCCCCCCCCCCCCCCCCCCCCCCCCCCCCCCCCCCCCCCCCCCCCCCCCCCCCCCCCCCCCCCCCCCCCCCCCCCCCCCCCCCCCCCCCCCCCCCCCCCCCCCCCCCCCCCCCCCCCCCCCCCCCCCCCCCCCCCCCCCCCCCCCCCCCCCCCCCCCCCCCCCCCCCCCCCCCCCCCCCCCCCCCCCCCCCCCCCCCCCCCCCCCCCCCCCCCCCCCCCCCCCCCCCCCCCCCCCCCCCCCCCTCCCCCCCCCTCCCCCCCCCGGTTCAGTGGAGGAATTTACACGTGGATGCTCTCTTACCTGTACACGAATCATTCACTTCCTTTCACCTGTGGTAAACTGACATTACTCTAAGAAAGTTATGTATGTATAATATTCGTAGATTTAAACTTGTGGAAAATGTTGTGAAGCTGCAGTCGTTGAACTTAATACTTGAAAATTTGTGAATGGATTTGCAATATACGGTCTTGGAATTTTTTACATTGAATTGTGAATGGATTTCCTCTGCAGTCTGAATGTTATACGTGGAATTGCGAATAAAATTGCCAAGTACAAACATGGAGTAACAGTAGTAAGTGCACGGAGTAAGCAAACGTTGGTACTTTGTGATAAAAACCTGCCTAGGTAGCCCAGAGAACGGCACATTATTAACATCCTCTCCCTGCCTCTACTAACACACCATCGTATCGCATACCAACGAGTCTGCATACCACAGTTCCCATGGCATCATGATGTTAATGCAAGACGCCAAGGTTGGTCTGTAAGCATCGACTTGTTGGTCACTTTGCTATATATACTGTAGCTTAATTTGACTGGACGGGTTGCCTAGAAGAACATAATGTATAGAGGAATGAATTCAGACCATTTTTTTTTATAGCGGGGAGATGTTGAAGACAGCTGTTTATCGCAAGAATAACCTGTACAAGTGACTGGGTGTAATTATAGCCGATGATACAGGTGGTAACGGCGTTAGTGTAAAGCGATATGTTGGATTTTGAAGGAGAGGGAAAGCCATTGGACGATACGCTTCACAGCCCAGCTTTCATGATGTGCAACACCTAGGCTGGCTGGGTCTCTACATCTTTTTTTTTTATTTATTAGGGAAAGTGAAATGGGTGAACAACACGTACTAGCCTGGTATATTCTCTTCCGCTAAGACCCTTTCCGCACATTGTTGTATACCGTACTCATTTTTCATAGTGAGAATATTAAAGCATTGAAGGTTGCTATCTCCATCTGTATGGTGTATCCTACCGAATAGATTACAATACTTTGTTGGTTGTAGAAAAAAATTTGTAAATTAGAGAGAAGACAATGTCCACACACCGGGAAAAGGTCCAGGAATGATATTAATCAACACGAAAAAAAATTCTTGGGGAGCGTAAGCATTCTCCCAGCGTCTCAGATGGGCTCTGAAGTGATAGTTACGCAAGCGGACGGGCCACCCGGACTTGACATTCTGAGGGAGTCACCGACCTGAAAAGGGAGATCGGGTTTAGGTTAGGTAAATATTCCCAAGTTATGTTAAAGTACTAGGTTTTAGGGGTGTAGCTTCCGAATGGATATAGCCCTTGCTTTTTTCTTCTAATGGTCGTTGGTTCGATCCCTGGGCACTCAAAGTCTACCCAGCTGTCATATTGGAACCTAAATATAAGAGTACACACGCTGCATATGTGTGTAATAGTCATAGTATACAGTATGTTGTAACCACTACCTAAACAGGCCATTAAAGATATGAGACTCACTTAACCAGGTTTTAACGTATCTTCCTCAACTTTTATTGACTGTTTTTGTATAAAATCATCACAGCCAGTAGTGTGTCCGTAGAATAGCGTTGCGTAAAAATCACATGGTAGCGTTACCTTGTGTCTGGGTCTTTCATCCATCATATTTTATTTGGTACAGTACTTAAATATCAACAAGTAGGGTTTATTTATACCTAAACCGAAGTTGATCTTGGGATAAACACCCCCTAGATCTAGAATGTTGTCAAGGCCCCCAGGGTACATAGTGCCCGTCTTGTGTGCAGACTGGGAGAGACGCTCTTACGCCATACCTTCTTGGCTACCACTACGCGTACATGGGCTGTTACGCGTTATATATACTGTATGCGCAAGTGGTATGGTTCACTCGGATATGCGTATAGGTAGTACCCCCGTCTCGGTCACATACTTACATTATGGGTTTTTCTTAAGCTTCCTCCACTGATCATACAGTACACTAGCCACCACTCCATTCTTATCTGTGATAACGGTTCATGTATTTTTACTTTTTTAAGTCATATTTGAGATAAACCGTTGTTTGTTTTACCTTTGAGCCATTTGAGATGTTTTTCAGCATTTTGTTACTTTTTCGTGTTTCAATTGTTACTTTTGTTTTCGTTTAATTCAGCTTGTCATAGTTCCAGGTTACGACTTTCCTGCATATCCACAGCGGCCGTGGTTGTGTCCACCGTATTGTTTAGCTTGGTTGATGGTACACTGTTATATCAGGTTAAGAGGGTGAATAGATAGGGTGAAGTAGTGATGGTGGTAATGTTTTGTTACAGCTCTCCGCGGCCCGTGTTCCAGTCTGTTGGCGGAGGCAACAAGGGGGGACGCTCCACCAATGGCCGTGCGCAACCACATGACACTATCACGCCTCAACACGAAGAACTAATCCGGTTTTTCAACGACTGTAAGTACTTTTTTGCGCCTTTGGTCTGCTAGATATTTTTTATGTTCAGTCGGCCGTTAGTCTACTTGTTCATCTGTATTGTTAAGAACGCATTATAGAAGGCCATAATGTGTTCTTTACAATGTAATTTTATATTTTAAGAAAATTTTCTAAGGGTACGTGGTAAAAAAATACAGCTATGTGAAGAAAATGATAGAGCACTTGTCAATGTTCTGGATGTGCATCTTTCTTAAGGGAATGTAAACACCAATGAACTTTGTAAACACCGTGTACAGATACAATATTAATGTTCTTCACAGAATCTCCAAGGATCTGTAGTATATTTTGACGCTGTTTTCAAGTGTAACCCATTTACGTTACCTACCAGTTAGTTATGTTATCACATACTCTTGGCCAACCATTCTCTGAAAATAAAAAAAATAAAATGCAGCTTCACCAGGTAGTTATTGTACACTTATCTTGTAGGTGCCAGCTTTGAGTCTGCACCTTGACGTCTCAAAGGTCAGATGATCATGTGTTCTTGCAACTATTTTAGGAGTCTCATTTATTAAATGTAGCCCGTCAGTGTTGAGTGCTTATACCCTGTTAGTATTGTCACCACAAATATCTCGCTCCCTTTTCCTTTTCGTGGAAAACAAAGCTGTTTCATGACGTATTCGCATAGATTTAGAATAGGGGATGACTGGCAAAAAAGTGGTCGGACGCTCTTGATAGGTGTTGTGGGGAAGTTTTACCTTTAAATTGCTAATGGACAGAGTGTTGAGTAAACTGTGAAATTGGGGATTGCTTTAACTAGCAGTTGTAGAACCACATCTCAAAATCTGCATGATTGTGAAACTCGTGGATGAAGGCCAGTGATATCTGAAGTGTGTGCGTGAATTACGGGGATTAGCCCACCCGGGCACAGGTCACTGACTCACATCAGGGCCTGGGGGGTTAAAATAAATATGTAAAATATATATATATAATATATATATATATATATATATATATATATATATATATATATATATATATATATATATATATATATACACACACACACACATATATACACACCAACACACACACACATACACACACACACACACACACTGCATACATACATATATACACATATATACATACACACACACATATATATATATATATATATATATATATATATATATATATATATATATATATATATATATATATATATATATATATATATATATATATATATATATATACACACACACACAGTGACCCCTCGGTTAACGAAATTTGGGTTAACGAACTGCCTTCCATAAGGACCTTCAATTCGGTTAACTAACAAAAATTTGGGTAACGAATTTCTTACCAACCGACCTCAACATGTTTTCGCTTGCACTGACCGGGCAACCAGCTTTAGTATCAGTCCGCCAATACATTAATCGGTTCTAGGGCTTAAATTCCTTACTATTTTAGTAAATATCAAGAAGTTTATACTATTCAATAATTTTAAAAGTTTAATATTCAATTTTTTAGACATTTTAACTATTATTGAACATAATTGAAGGTAAAGAAACTAGTTTAATGCGCGGCATCCAGCCTCTTAACACAGCAAACAGGCGTTAGTCTCTCTGTTTTCAGTGGAGGTAACATCTTGCTTGAGACTCTCTTCAACTAAACGCTTTTTTTCTGTGTTTCCAAGCAAATTATTGGTCATTTTGAAATATATTTTACATATTGACAATATATAATGCAGTGCAGTGTTGATTTAAAGAAAATAATCTTGAAATACACCAAGAGAACTAAAATTTTATGGGTGAAATGGTGCCATGGGGTGACTTCTCTTCCACCCCAATGCCTTCTCTTCTTCCTTCTCCTCCACCCCCACCCCCATTCTAATTCCCATCATCATCATCATCCAGGAGCCTTCTACATACACACCTCAAAGTAAGAGCTGCCGCCTTTCTCATAGTAATGTTTGCTTCCTGAGTTCGTATATTTTTACTTGTGACTATGTAGTTTCTGATGATGCTTTTAAAATTAATTTAATCTAAAAGGACCAGTTGTTTTGTCAGTTTATATAAGATATATAATGTGTGTATATTTGATTACAATAATATGTATTATGGTTGTAAAAATGGTTTTCACTTTTGTTATTCATTGCCATTGCTGCGAGGGGAGCAGCGGCCAAGTGGATACAGAGCTCGCCTCCTGCCCTTAGAGATATTTGTTCGTACCGTACAGGCAAGTGTATAATGCCAACAACTGCCGAGGTACATTTTACACTGTACCTAACGGCGTTTGAACCCTCTTGTCATTTTCAGAATTGTTGCCATACGCTTATTTTGTCACTGAAACGCTGTGTTAGTTACGAAAAGGTTTGTTTGTACTCATTAATAATGATTATAGTGTAAAACGCGACGGAAAAGTTACCGTGAAATATTAGATTTGTGTGAGTACTGAAGACAACGAACAGTGTTCTTGGCACTTAGGTGAGGACTTTCCGGGTATATGCGGTGTTCTCTGTTAGATGCCGAGGGTGAAGGCTGTATTGAGGGATGGCTGATAGTCACTTAATTACAGACAGCTGAATGGTTTCTTTTTGGTGATGGCTTAGAAAAGGTATATACGTTGCATTTTCCAGGGTCGAAAATATTCAAATATAACATTCTTGTGAAAAGACCGATGTGTAAGACTACGTTTATTTGTGACCAAGAATCGGTCACAACACAAGCTGCTTCAGCGCTGGGTGGTCTACATATTCTCGGGCAGTCATCATTGGTGTTATTAGAGCTGCTAACAGCTGTTACTGCTGAGCACACTGCTGCCGTACTGGGTGTTTGAACTTGGGGCCAACAACTGAAAATAGCACTATTATTACTGAGTGAACTGGTAGCCTAAACGTTTGGCTAGCAGACTCGTGCTGTGTGTGTGAACGCGATGCTGAGAAGTTGTGATGCGAGCGGCCCAGATGTTAGAGACAAGAGAACAGGTCCAACCTGCTCGTGTGTGCTGACGTCACACTGCTCATTATTACCAATGGAGTGTTTGTACGAGAACCGCCAAACACTTCACTGTTCCAACATGATAAATAATAGTGAAACCTTTTCTGACCTGATGCAATCTACTATTGTAACTAATGTGTTCAGTCTTTACTAAGTGTACCGTATGTTGTATTGACTACGGTTTTCCACACTTACGTCACTTTCACTATGCAACAACGCGCAGCAGGTAATGGGAAAGATCATTAGACCCTAATAAATTAATTTTATATGTAATTTGTTGTTTATTGACATGAAATAGTCTTATATCAACAAGGTCTCGAGATTTTTTATATTACTGTGCTTGTGTTTATGTGGGACTGGAGTTTCTGTATACACCTATCAATATCTTCACGAGTGCGTATAATACTGTTTAGTTTGAATGCGCACAGGCTAGTGTGTGTATAATATATATCCTGAGCCATGTATATACGTACACGACTTCTTGGTCTGTCCAGTGCTTGTCGGGAACATTAATTGAGAAGTGTTGGAGGTATTGCTGTGAGCAGCCGGTTATAGACACTAAGGAGCATTTGGAAGCAAAAGTGAGAATAAACGGCCTCCAGCATTTGTTTCAACATCAAGGACAACAAACAAACATATGAGCGGTGGTGGAGGTGCGTGCCAGCCAACACACCAAGGGCATACATAGCCTGGTGAGGACTCCAGCTTAGTTACAACCTCCCGCCACCTCCGAAGGACAGGCGTATCTGTCTGTCTGTTTCTCTGCCCGTCTAGTTATTGTGAAATGATTCCTTCGCTTTCAGAGAAGATAGCCGGGATTATCTGTTGACTAATAGTGGAGGTGGCTGTAACTTTTGAACAATGGATTGACTGACGAAGTTCCTTGGGTAGAACTATGAACGAAATGAAGGTGCTGTGTGGTTTTTTATATTACTGGAGGACTGTGTGTGTGTGTTTGTTTGTTTGTTTGTTTGTTTAATGGAGTAATGATACTAAAATATAAAGGGGTGACCGATAGTTGTTAAGTTAACACCGGTAGCTGAGCGTGTGGTAATGCTTGGCTGTCAAGGTACGATGACTCGGTACTTAAGAAAGTGGACGTATTGCTATAACACTCGTCATGTAGAATGGTGAATAGATGCCGTATTTGACGATGTTTGAGGCAACACAGGAAGCATTTAATGACTTTGAAGATTTGTTAAGGGCATATGTATCAGTGAAATAACATAAGGGTAATAACCTTACAAACCATCTAAAATTAACGGGAAAGGCGTCAGTGGCGTAATTGTGAACATCATTAAAATAGACTACAACAACTACAGTATAAGAAGGTTAGCATTCGTCTACCATTGTAAGATAAGGCGCGAGGACCACTTGACGACTTGTCCTTCATGGCGTGACCAACAACTTAACCACCTATGGCCATTTTGATTATTAATTGTTTATTAAGTATGCAGTATAAATATATGTGTGTATATTATGAGAATGCAGTACTCGTCCGGACTGTTTAACGTAAGTCTTGGGGGAAGTTTGTGTGACTGGTTTTTAGTACACAAATCTTGATGAACTTTACGATACCTTACTATTTTACCCATCACGAGTCTGCTTAAACTTTACTTAGCGGGTTAACTGATTTTTTTTTCAATTTGTCATCACAGGAAATTAGAACTATTGTGAATTATGGCTGACAGTGTGTATTGTGGTTTGTGTAGGAGAAACTAGATCTGGTGTGCGTATGGCTGGCCGCTGGGGAGGACAAAAAACCGGAAATAATATTACATGGACGTTACGTAGTTGTTGTCATGCCACAAGGTCGTCACTCACCATCCATATCATCAGGTTAGTTTTGCTATTGCGTAAATGTCCGTACATAAACCCGTCTTTGCCTGCTGGTGAAGTTGGATATAATAAATGTATACTGTATATTCTGAAATATGCCAAACTATAACACTTTTAAATAAATGTAGTGTGATGTATTTACTTCTTGATTCCTGAAATTTGTGGTTGGTGACGTCACGGTCGGTTGTTCGTGTGTGAAGGATTTATTTTAAGCGTTTTATTGTCTAGTCATTGTGAGTTGCATGCATTGTTTGTGTGGCCATGTGAAAGGTGTTCACATTGTGTATGCGTACACACGTCTACATTGTATATGTATGTACACGTGTACAATGTACAGTAATGTGCGTACATGTCTACATTGTGTATATATGTACATGTCAACATACGTAAGGTTGTTTAGTGGTGTGGTTCACATAAGCGGAAGCAGCACATGACCCTTGGTTATATTTTCCCTAAACTTGGCTCAGTTACACAGTGACGTGAGTGACTTGGTCTCGTGACGTCACCAGTTCTTAATTCGCCCACGCTTCTTTCAACAGTTACGCTGTCTTGTAAACTTTTTATGCTCTATTACGAATGTGGGAGCTTGTAATGCTAGCCTTGTGTGTGTCTGTATTTATGTACGTATTCTATTGGTTATGTAGTCATGAAACTTTATATAGTTATCCTAGAGAACATTATAACCAATCAAAAGGAGGACACTATAAGTAACCTACGTTTTTACTCCTTTTGGCCTTGGTAAAGGTATGTGTATAGCTCATACTGTATTAGGTAGTGAGTGTGTACAGTGGTGTCATCCACATCCATCAGGCGCAGTTATCATGTTTCATAATATTAATAATTAACTTGTGGACTTCGTGGGGAGGGGGGATGGTTCAGAGTTTACTGCCTATTTTACCCTGAACGATGATGTACGTTTGACGTGGCAAAGTACACACACCCCCTGTGAACTTGGGTCACACGTGAATGATTGTCCGTTAGGACAGAAATCGGATAATAACTATATGGTAAAGTCATTTATCATACCTAGCAGCTCCGATACCTTTGAGTCCTGCGATAAATATCTGACAATCTTTATGACTTAACAGGGAGTGTTGGCCTGAGAAGATGTGTGGTAGTAGTAAGGGGTGGCGGTAGTGGGGTGGAACGTCATAATACTGTACCCAGGGTGGAGTCGGGTAGGCAGGCAGATGACATTGCCAGCATTTCCGCCATACCTCATTACTGCCGGCCATGGTTGGGTCTCAAATAGCTTGTTACAAGGAAAGCGACAGTGATGTAGCCAAGACTGTAATGTACTGTACATACTCTCAATACAAACGAAGGAGTTTTGAACCGCACAGAAGATAAGCGTGCCGAGCTGTGGAGCACAGGTTGGCGATTTGCTCGTGTGTGTTATGGAAACCATGTGGCGGAAGTGAGTTATTATCCGTGTGGCAGCCGCAGACGACACGAGTCAGGCCCTCAGCTCACTGTGGCCCGGCGGACTTATCACGGTGTGCATCTAAAAACACCAGTATTTGTCTACAAAGACATTGCATGTGGAAAGTTTTGAACGCTCCAATTAGCAGACACGTTCTCTGTGTAGTGTCTTTCCCTCTTGTGAAATAACCACTCGTGTACAGTCTAACCATGTGCTCTGTGATCCTGACACACTGCCAACGGAAATATGCTCCTTGACATATTATGGTCTAATGCAGAACGCTCCGCCCCTCATGTCTTAGATAGCGACGGTTTAAATCCTTTGGTGGGCTTTAAAAAAATCCCGGTAAGGGCTTAATGGCGGGTTTATAACGCTTAATTCCAATTTCACCTACACCTTTGATTCTCATTTCGTTTAAAGTTGTTTCCCTTATATTTTTTCCTTCTGTTTACTCCTAGAATATCACATCTGAAAGTTATTTACCAGATGATTATCAAGTGATACCTTAACCTGCCTTGAACCTTACCTTATCCTATATAACCTTACCTTACCTTTTTAACTTACTTTACCTTGCTTCTATTCCTAACTTTACCTTAATTTGCTTTATATTACCTTTTTACCCAACTCAACCCAATCTAACAGTATACCTTATTATTTTCTCCTTTATGGTGAGTAAATGGTTTGTGTACAAAATACACAACATCAATAGAATCGACGTTATGCGAACTTTAGTCTTCCCAAGTAAAAATAGTCGCCATTCTAAGTAAAAAATAGTCGCCATTCTGAGTTAAAACAGTAGCCATTCTGAGTAAATAGTCGCCATTCTTAGTAAAAACAATAATAGTCATTCTCTGTAAAGATAATGGGAAAAGGCGAAGTGGAAAGTTGCCATTATAAATAACACCTACTAGCACAACGCTCATGTTAAGCTTCTGAGTGACGGGATCCAGTGTTTCAGAATAGGACTACCGATATCTCAGTTTCCTTCATACACACACCTACACACACACACACCAAAACACCCAACTTTCTCTTTGTTTGAACTCGTTTCTGCTTGTCGTTATTTTGGGAAATTGTCTAGGAAACATAAGAGCACTTCTCTAAAAGGGAGTTACTTATGGAATTGGTTAGCGTTGTGTCATAATCCTGTTATGTCCCAGGCAGATTGGTTAAGATACACTATCCATCCATCCCTGCACTCCTCCGTAGTACCCCCAGGCTTCTTAAGTGAGTAGAAGTGTTCGAAAAAATTATGTTTCCTTGACACATTGGACTGTATTTTATCTTATTTCCAAAAGCTCTCGCTTTCGTTGCCAAAGGTCAAGAAGAACTTGTGCGTCGCATACATATGGCGTCTTTAGTATTTTTTTCTTTGCACGGTGTCACTAGTGATCATTTTTCTCAAGACAATTAATTGTAATGAAACTTAAGGAATTCTAAGAAACTTCTGAAAAAAAACGAAATTAAACATGACAGTTGTGATTGGACGGTTCGAACGTTTCTCATAGCTGATTGGCTGATCAAAACATTACGCGTTAAGGCATCTTTTAACAGAATAACTACCGCGAAAATTCTTATCTATTCATGTCTTATGGGAGTGGTTATTGAATAAAACAAAATCGTTAACTCGTGTATACGTGTAGAACAGCTTGTCATCGCTGATATACGGCGTCGTAGTAAGCGGAGTTGTGTTTTGTGTTGTATTGGGGGTGTACAGTATACGCCATTCCTTTTTACTTTTATCCTCTTCGCCACTGATCGGCTCATTAGCCGCTTGGGCGATCGGTCACGTCTCTGTTACGCACTGGGCATGCACCGTCTCCTGAATGTAACTGAACCCGCTCCAGTGTTGGTCAAGTCTGGTCTTGAAAGAGCTCACACTCTGTGCCGTCACAACACTCTCTGGTAGATTGTTCCAAGAGTTTACAACTCACTCCGAAAAAGTTTGCCCTCACAGTTTTCTGGACTTGCGGCTTCTTCAATCTTGAGCTGTGACCCCTTGTGGGGCGAGCGTCCGCCAGCTCCAAGTAAGGACACTCAACTGAGTAGTGCCCCCTGAGATGCTTATACACCTCAACTAGGTCCCCCCTTGCCCGTCTGTAGTATAAGCTAGGCAAGTAAAGGCGCTCCAATCTCTCAGGGTAGCTGAGGTGCCGAAGTGCAAGCACCAGTCTGGTGGCCCTCCTTTGAACATTTTCCTGTGTGACTGTGTCCTTAAGCGTGTTTTAATGTGGTTAAAAAGGTAAGGGTGGTGGAGGTAGTGTGGGAAGTGAGATTGTAATGGTACGTGATCAAGAAGGTGGTGGTGCTGGTAGTGTAGAAAGGAAGGTGGTGGTGGTGATAGAATGGGAAGGAAGGGTAGGTGTGATGATGGTAGTGTGGTCAGGAAGGTGGTGTGGGTCTCATGCTGGGGGGTAGGGGGTGGGTGGTAGAGCAATAAGTCAAGGCCAAGAGTTGGTTTAAACCTGTAATGTAATAATTCACAAATATGTTTAAAATACTGGAAGGACTCACGTTGGTGTGTTTGATTTATGTAGCTAGAGGAGATTTAGAATCACTCGTTAACATTATTTATTTATTGTTTGCTCTGATAAAATAAATGGACTTCGTGTTAGTACTGTACATACAGTAGTTCATAAGGGTGTAGAGACGGAGGGAGAGAGAGAGGGAGAGCGAGCACAGTACAGCACAGCACAGCACTAGTAGGATTGCGTCATTCCCGAGACACACCTCCGCGCGGCCACAGCTGATTGGCTGACGTCAGATATCTTTTGCTACCCATTGGCCACTTGCCACTGTTGCCGGCTAATTAAGACAGCGTTGGCTGTGGGCCAGCCATACCGGTTAATGTAGTTACTAGTCTATTCTTGACCTTAGGAACTTATCAACATTGCGGTAATCTTTCGTGATTATTATCAGTACAGGTACTACAAGATTTAAACCATACGAAACTTTACTAGATATAGTTGTATTGGATATTACTGTGCATTCTCCGTATTTCATGGTTTTTCTGTAAAAAAAAATGTAAGGTAGTGTGCGTTCTCAGAATTAACATGGCTTCCCATTAGTCATAACAACGAAGTTGAGAACTTAGCAAGTAGATATATATATATATATATATATATATATATATATATATATATATATATATATATATATATATATATATATATATATATATATATATAATTTATTTTTTTTAACCGTGCCTTTGTCTTTATTATGCGCTGCTTTTGGGTTTAGGGGTTGATTTAAGGCTGATCAGAGCTAAGTTTTTACTTAAAGTCAGTTCGCCCTATTTCATATTATTTACTCAAAATTGGTCTACTTGCCTCACTATCCTGTGTCTGTATGTTGGTATAAATATCACTTTCTCCATGGGCAATCGATGGTGGGAAGGGATGCACAAAAAGTTTAACATGAAAAGTTATTGTAACATTTTAATATCACTTCATTACTGTTTTATAGTGTTAGTTAAAATACCGATGCAGGTACTAGTTATTTGTATCCCTTCAGTGTATGGAACTATTCATATCATACAATATGTGTAAGTTACTTATCGGTAATTTGTAGAGATCTCCAGATCACATAAATGCTAGGCAACTCGCTTGTTCCCAGTAATACAGTATCCCTCGTGTTTTCTCGTCTGATTTTTTTTTTTTTTTCAGCATGGGGTAGGGTGTGTAAAGAGCTGGAGATGGGCAGACAGAACGGCCATGATGCCAGAGGTGAGATGTACAGTACATACAACAGTGGGTATTACAGCAGTATACGGTATTGAGAAAATTATCTCTTTAGGGGGTTATACAGAGAATAAAAGGTGTAAAAAAGTATTTTTATCCTTGTGACGTTCTCAGCAAGTTTCATGTGTAGTATTTTACAGTAAAATTCTGTTGAAGGGGTCTGGACCAAGCACTTAATGAACCAAAAATTAAAAATTTTGTCTTGCAACTGCAAGCTTGCATATACCATGACTTTCCTTAAACCAATAAAGTCACCCAACAGAGTTCACATAGTTCATCAATTTCCATAAAATCTTTAAATTGCATGGTTGTCTTCATAATTAACCGTCCAGAAAGTGTCTTCATTCTTCTTGTACAGTACTGTATTGCTGTTGGAACCACTTGAAATGAGCTTTATCTTGTACTAAAATTTTATTCTTTTGCTCTGCACTCTCATTGTTACTCTCATTGTTAGACTGTTTCAAAGTAAAATTTCACCATCTTATCCTTTTGCGGCATAAATTCATAGACTGGTGGTGGTTGCAGTGCTGTGCAGTATTCGAGAACAAGTTTGCTCACTGCCACACTGGCATTAAGACCACATAAAACTTCCACTTTCTTACTTGTAGTTGAAGTTCTTTGACTCATTATTTCATTGGAGTCATTTTATATGACATTTAGTATGTAGAATTAACTGGTGAGAAGGCTGTGCACTGCAGCAAACAATTGCAGAACCTTGGAGTACAGGTACCACATTCAAATTTGTTTTCATCTACAGGGTATTGCTCTGTTTTGGGGGGGTAATCAGTATTGTTCCTTCTAAGCTGCATGCCTGTATCACATTCCAAGTGCTACTCTCTTAATTTTTCAAGAATACCATCACTGACAGCATCATCTCTCTTTCATTCAGTATTAAATAAATACTCTTAATCAGTGTACCTTGTTAAATATATGTTTTTTCTATTCTTCCAACTTTTTACATACCAATGATAACCTTTAAAACAATTATTTTAGCTTTTTCATTTTCATTGGTGGCTTACATAACCATAGTGCACAATGAAGTTCATTCTTCACTGCAATCTAAAAACTTGATAAGAAACCTTGGTCACCAGTCTTTTGCTCATGAAAAGAAGTGGATTTCACTACCCCATATCAGTACCTGTACTTGTTAACAGGATTTTAATATTTAGTAGGTACTTTAATTATTGTTCATAGTGCAGTAGTGTTGTTCAAGAAGAAAGGGATAAAAACAGGGATAATGGTTTATTGTATACACCAGTTTATCAAAAGAATTTAATAAAAGAATTATCACCTGTTAGGGAGAATGCATGAGATTTGAATGCATGCTAAGTTATTTAGAAACTGTTAAGTGAGATGATTATGAATATGGAGGTGGATTTTATATATATATATATATATATATATATATATATATATATATATATATATATATATATATATATATATATATATATATATATATAAAAGTGCAGTAGAGCAAATATTCCAATTTTATCTAATAATGTTTCTCATCCTCAGGGAATGGAATTGCTTATTACCAAGAAAAGACTGAACATCCAGCATTACAAGGTATGTAAAATGCAGGCATACAAAATGGTGGTGTATTGAAAGGAAATTTTTCTTTACACCTTTACCCACATTACTGTACCTAGGATGACTATTGTAGAAATGAGTCTGCTTAATTTATGTGGAAAACATTACTATATTACTGTACATACAGTACTGCAGTGTACAGTATGTAGAGTTGAACAGGTATTAAATTTGGCCATTTCTCGTATTGTAATACATTTTAGATATACAGTGACCCCTCGTTTAACGAACGCCTCAGTTAACGAAATTTCGGTTAACGAACTGCCTTCCATAAGGATCTTCAATTCGGTTAACGAACAAAAATTCGGTTAACGAATTTCTTACGAACCGACCTCAACATGTTTTCGCTTGCACTGACCGGGCAACCAGCTTTAGTATCAGTCCGCCAATACAGTAATCGGTTTTAGGGTTCAAATTCCTTACTATTTTAGTAAATATCAAGAAGTTTATACTATTCAATAATTTTAAAAGTTTAATATTAACTTTTTTAGTCATTTAAACAATTATTGAACATAATTGAAGGTAAAGAAACTAGTCTCTGGCGTGCCATCCAGCCTGTTAACACAGCAAACAGGCGTTAGTCTCTCTGTTTTCAGTGGAGGTAACATCTTGCTTGAGACTCTTTTCAACTAATCGCTTTTTTTTTCTGTGTTTCCAAGCAAATTATTGGTCATTTTGAAATATATTTTACATATTGACAATATATAATGCAGTGCAGTGTTGATTTAAAGAAAATAATCTTGAAATACACCAAGAGAACTAAAATTTTATGGGTGAAATGGAGCCATGGGGTGACTTATCTTCCACCCCAATGCCTTCTCTTCTTCCTTCTCCTCCACCCCCATTCTAATCCTCATCATCATCATCATCCAGGAGCCTTCTACATACACACCTCAAAGTAAATGATTTTTTCTACCATTTTTGTTGAATTTAGGAAATTTTCGGTGAGCTGGAACCAATTACCAAAAAACCCATTGTAACAATGGTTTCGGTTAACGAATGACCTTCTGGAACGGATTGAGTTCGTTAAATGAGGGGTCACTGTATTAAAAAATACTGTCATCTAGATATCCTTTTTTATTAAATTAGGAAGCTACTTTACTTGTCTGTGACAATGTACTTTGAGAAGTAAAGGTCCAGTTTACAAAATCTGTTGGATTATTCTACTTAAATGTCAACCAGGTTAATATAGTTTAACTGAAGGAAATTGTTGAGCTGCCTCAGATATGGGAATTGTTTTGCTTGATGACATCAACTATAGCCTGTTCACTTGAACTTTGCAAATGTGGCATAGAGTCATGTGTAACATTTTGGATGGTGTTTGTTGAAGGTGTTAAACTTTAGAAGTATAAATTGGAATTTTTTGGTGGATTAAATTTTGGTTTTTGGTCAGTAGGATTACATCATCATTGTATGTATAGAATCTTTTCATTGTAAAGTATATCAGTTAAAATGTAGGGCATATTTTGGTGTGCGGATTCTTATATTTACCTGTACAATATATATATATATATATATATATATATATATATATATATATATATATATATATATATATATATATACATATATATATACATATATATACACACATACATACACACACACACGTATAGTCTCTCCTCAACTTACGACGGGGTTCCGTCCTGACGACCAGGTCGTAAGTCGAAAAGGCAAAAAAATATATATAGAAATTCTAAAATGGGTGTCTCTTTTTCTTCTCAGCACCACGAGAACTCTCACCTTTACGCTTGTCAGCCATTTTAAAGGGAGTTAATTATAAACGAAAATTTGGTCAGTACACAGCGCGATCACTAACGTCGGGACTAAAAAATACGCAATGTGACAAATATTTTATACGACCATGGCCGTCGTATGTCCGGGTTGTCTTAAGTCGAATATGTCATAAGTTGAGGAGAGACTGTGTATATATATATATATATATATATATATATATATATATATATATATATATATATATATATATATATATATATATATATATATATATATATATATATATATATATATATATATATGTATGTATATATTTATATATATATATATTTATTTTTTTATTTATTTTTTTTATTTTTTTATTTTTTTATTTTTTTATTTTTTTTCCAGATTTTAAACCATTTGACTTGGAGGCATGGTGGGGCAAGAGAATTTATCAGAATTTGACCCAGTCCACCTAAAACATCCATACCTACAATATTTAATACTGTACCAGGCAACTTGTGCCCGACCTTTTGTCAAATTAGCACTACTGTATTATCTTTCAGAACTCTGTACTAACCACACAGTAAATACTTATACAGAGGTTACTGAAATTGAGTCTCATAAGTTAGCAAATACTGCCTCTGTTTATGCATCATTGCTGAGTTTGTGGATTTGCTTTGTTGATTGCAATTTTCTAAGTACAGGTATTTTGACAGAAGCTCAAAATGCAAATACTGTATCAAGCTCAGAAAATTTCTTGTCATTTCTCACATTTTCAACAGGATAAAAAAAAAATCCAAATGTCATGTGTCAGTATTGCAGGTCAGTGATAAGGAGGCATTTAAAATAATTTCTTTTTTTATAATTGCAGACTGATAAAACTGAGTAATTCAGATGTATGAAAGAACAGGACAGATGAATTGTATGAGTAGTTTTCCCAGATGCTGGGAAATAGCATTGTAGCAGATGAGTAGGTAATATGAGATAGTTACTTTGTAGCATTCCAAACAAAAGTGGGATACATCCAGATATTTGGAATCATACTTTGGCATATATTCATTAAACCCATTCAAGCTATAGACTTACAGCTCTGATTATCATTAGTGCACTGTCCTTGTATGCCGGTGTCGTACATATACAGTACCCTTCATATGAGCCACCGATTATTTTTTCTTCTTGCAAGGAAGAAAAAATTCTCAAATTGTTTTACTTGATAAGTTAAATAAGAGTTCAAAAGTACTTGTAATTAGTAAAGTACTGATAGTTCTGGGAATGTGAGTGTATTGCTTGTTATGTATTTTTTGAATATATGACCCAGTGTTATGGATAAAGTACAGTAGTGGATGCTGATGTGAACTACATTCTTGCACCAAGTATGTATTTTTGGGATTTTCCAATGACTTGTACATTTTAAGTGTGGCAGGTTAAGAAATATTATATATTTCTGAGTCTACTTGCTATACATGTACAGTACAAAACCACCATTGACAAATGCCACCTGAATGACAAGAACTGGCTATTAAAACCAGCTATTTTTTAGATTACTAGCAGTTGCAGTTAGTTGGGAGTCTCATGAGATATTTGAAACTTCTTAGATGTAAAATCTGTCTTGTTTTTGCACATATTACATCTCTCAAAACTATTGGGCTCTTATCCAAAGATTTCAAATAGTTTGTGTATTTTGTGAAATTTATATTCTTAACACTTCTGGCAAGATTTATATAATATTTTACATCAAAATTTTAGCAGTTTATGATCAGCCTCCAGCACAAAACCAAGTACTGTAAATGTTTGAATTGATAATCAGCAAGTCATAGATAGGTATGGTAAACATTCACTTGTAATATTACAAACTGCATCGAGTAATTTAACAAATGACAATTTCTTCATATGTTATCCACCTTTTCATCTAGTTGATCTATATCATGTGAATGTTCTTCATAATTGTTTGTATTGTTTTCTTCAGAACAATTTGACATAATTATTTTACCAATTTACTTACAAAGAAAATAGAAACTGATTGGATAACTATGGATCTAAAACAGAGAGCACTGTTTGAGAGACTGTGAATGTGTTTGTCTGTGTGAGTGTTTCTTTCTCTCTTCCATGTTAAAACAGTTTAACTTTTTCTTTGCCAGTAAATTGCCTATCTATGGGCTAAAATCTACCATATAATGAGTAATTTTGGAGGGGAATTGTGAACAAAAATTTGTACAAGGTGTTTTAAATACACATAATTTTAAATATTTAGTCTGATTTTTGTAAATATTTTTACTGTATTGAAAATGCAGAAAAACCTGTTTAATTTGACAATTGCTCCAAAAGGGTGCTTAAATACTTAAATTGTCAAATTATGCTTTACATTGTCTTGAGAAAATTACTTCAGGTTTCCACTACAGAAAAAGAGTATCCTGTATAATCATCATACAAGGTACAACTTGTGCAGTTACTACACTTGATGAACTTTTGTTTGCATAATACTTCTCCTACAGAATGTCCAAATTCTTTTACAAATATAGTACTGTATTTTCCCATTAACTTGTCATACTGTAGTTATTTTATATACATAGTGTAAAAGATTATAAAAATGTCCTGAATTTTAAGCAAAGAGAGTCAAGCTAGAAGGGTTTCTCTGTATTTTTACTTTTTCAACCTTTAAATAGCTAATTTCTGGTATGGAAGTTTTAAAAGATGATATTTAAGCATCTGATGAAATGTGTTTATGTACAAGTTCAATTCCCATGGTTGGAATTCATTTTTGGGAAGAAAAACCAAAATTATTTTTTCATGAGGCCCCAACTGTGGTACTGCCTGTATGTCAGGTGTTTCCCATGTCGAGTGTCAGTTGGATGAAGGGGTTATCTCCCTGAGGAACTAAAACTCACCAGTCCTACCGTGTTTGTATTGAGTATGATGTATTGATTTAACAACTGCTGCCATAAAATGTGTAGTATATTGTCATAGCTTTTATATATTTTTTTATTGTATTGTATATCCTGGCCATATGTGATACAATAGTTGAAGAACCAAAGTGAGCTCAGTTCCTTGGGGGCACAACCTAATCGTTTAGTCTGTGATATTATTTTGTTTCCTCTTGTGAGGCATCTCGCAAATTGAGACAAAGTATTTTGAACCAATCTTGATGCTGGATATCTTTGACCTGACATAATTTGTACAAATAAACACATAAAATATTGTTGTACTCTATTTGTAACCTATACTGTATAATGTGAACTGTCTCCATGTAGGTGCTACTATATATATCTTAACTTTAAGTGAGACTGCTAATAAAAGATTGTTCATGTGGTAACAAATACCTACAAATATTCATCAAGAAGGTGGGTGATGTAAAATTTGTAGTGGTTTTAAATTAAATATTTCCAACGGTCATTAGGGCACAATTACCAATATTACAACTTTTTTATCCCAGATCCTTGATCAGAATAATGTGGAATTTGTTTACTGTATTGGAAAAAGTTTATATACTGTACAGTATACCTGTGTGTGTGTGTGTGTATATATATATACAGTATAGTCTGGATTTACGTGTTTGGTCATTTACGCGATGCCTAGCCAAAATGAAAATGCTTTAATTACGCCGTAAATTTGGTCATTTACGCGGTGCGCGGCTGGAGAGGTCCAGACCGCCGCGCCATTTTTAACCCACGTGGTCCATTCTTGACCATATGCTGTGAGTGGTGAGCATTAGGCCGCTCTTACGTTATCGCTGACGTCATATGACGTATCTGACTGTGATTGGGCCACGCATCCTTACCACCCACGCATTCCCTCCGCCGCTAGCTGTGATTGGTCTAATGTAACATGACGTGCCCTGCCACCAGAGGGTAGAAGTCGCTGACCTAGCAGGGCCTGTCTCGTTCTCAGTCTGCGTATACAGTTCTCTCTTGTACCCGCTATTCCCCTCACAATGGCTTCAGCGGGACCCCCACCACCCGAGAAAAACCTTGAATTACCTGGACCAAGCCATGATAATGTGAAGGAAATCATCGAGTTGGGGGAGAAAATGAAGCTCGTCCTTGACAAGCATCGGTATGAAGAGTCTAATAACCATCTGACGAAAGTTATGGAGCTGTATATCCAGATCTATCTCGACAACTTCAATGCTAATCGTCAACGTAGTATTGAGGACTTCCTCGCCCGCAACCCACCACAACCACAGCCAGCCCAAGTCAGTGATAGTGACAGTGAGGATATGGACTTTTGAGAGGTTTGTCTGGGAGGCCCTGCAAACCTCTGAGAGTAGTGAAAGTGATTCACCGGAGGGCAACTAATGTGCCCTCTGCCTCGGAACCAGCCGCCATCCACGTGTGCTGACCCGCTTTTCTACTAACGTAAGTGTTAAAAAAACTAATATTGATATTTCTCTTAATTATTAATTGTGTGTGCATACCATCATAAAATTAAGATGTTATTTTGACTACAAGTTACGTATTGTGTCGGAAAAAGTGGAGTTTGGGGGTCGGCCTAGTCTCTATTTCAATGAATCCCATATGTTCTGTTATTTCATTTACGTACGCGTTTCTCGTTTTACGCGGGCCTCCACGGGTTCAATTGACCGCGTAAATGCAGACTAATATATATATATATATATATCTATATCTATATATATCTATATATATATATCTATATATCTATATATATATATACATATATATATATATATACATATATATATATATATAAATATATATATATACATATATATAGTAAGTATGTTATAACGAATCTAATTGGTTCTAGAACTTGTTCAAAAAAAAAAAAAAAAAAAAAAAAGAGGTATTCGTTATAGGATTAATCCGTTCCAGGCCCCCAAATACAACCACTTAACACTGAAAAATATAATATAAAATTGTAAAAATTGTAAAAAAGTGCATAAATATGCATCTAAACCCCTGAAATAAAGAATATCATTAATATTTGTAATAAAAAACAATAAATTAGAAATTTTTTTAATAATGATCGTTGTAGGAGTTTCGTTCGTTATAGCATTTTCAATTTTATAGGTAAAACCGTTCGTTATAGCATACCCCACTGTATATATATATATATATATATATATATATATATATATATATATATATATATATATATATATATATATATATATATATATATATACAAGTAAATCGCTGTGGGTGTGCGTGATCCAAGTATATGCTGATAACCGCAAGAAAACATGAAATTCCCAAGTGCTGTCGTGTAATTCCCATCTTCAGGGGTGAGTACAGACTAAGGAGTAATACTTGACAAAACTAATATACAGGTATACAGTATTACTCCTTAGTCTGTTTTGTAACTGAAAAACAGTGCATTCTAGAAAATCACTTAGTAGCCATTGATTCAATGGGAATTAATGGGGCAGAAGTTTGAGAACACCAACATGACTGAAATGGGACTTGCTTTCATATTATTGTTAGTTTTTATGGGGGGGAAATGCTTGTTATAGTTATGAAGGAGGGAGTAAAATGAAAGTTATGAAATTCTGTAATATGTAGTTGAATGAGACTCGCTTAACTGCTTTTAATGGTGTTTGAGATGAGTGGTGGAGTCTTTCGGACAATGGAGGTGAGGGTTCATGCTACTTTATCACATCTACTTTTGTTTGAGAGATTTAACTTTTCCTCATTTTATTTCACTTACACTACCAGAGTGCTCCATGCCCTTGCCTGCAATGTAATTAAAAGCATATCTATGGGAGAGAGAACTTTTGCCTTATCTGTAAAATTTTTTTATCTGAATGGCATGAACGACACAAACGATATCAGCCGAGCATGAGGAAGAGGAGTCTCACTATTGTCCAACGTCCGGCAGCAAGAGAACCTCACCTCTCCTCGCCCACAACTGTGGAAGCTGTTCACACGGAGGAACTACTTACATTTGGATAAACGGTAAACAGTTGGTCTTAGACTAACACTTGTAACTCAGAGGTGACCCAAAAAGTCTTAACTTTAGGTGCATTAGGTTAAGTGACCTTTTTTTCCTAGAATCACCTCAGCCAGCAACTATGACATTTTACAATTCAGAGATGAAGTAATATACAGTACTGTAATTTATGTTTTACTTTTATACAAGTATAAAATTGAATGCTTAGGTACTTTTTTCCCCATTAAATTGACTAAAATGATCCAATCCATTGTTTCAGAGCGAGAGTTTAAAATAAGACGAGTGGGAGAAAATAATTACAGATTTTGAGAGCCCCTTTATACAGTGTACCAAATCAAACTAGGGTGTTGTCTTTTGTTGTGTTGTGGCTGACTACATAGAACCCCTTTAGATTGCCAAGAATAAGAGATTTGAAATTGTATACCATTTCTAATAGATTCACAAACTCTCTACATGACAAAAAAGCTATAATTTCTCAATGATTTGGGATTCAGAGACCTAAAATGATCTGAGGCAGGTGTTGGTATTATGGGTGGTGGTGCTGTAATTGTAGGTGTTTTGGTGGTGACGTTAAGAGTATGTTAGTAGTAACTGGTAGTAATAACAGCGGTAATAGTATTCTTAAGTGGTAGTAATAACAGCGGTAGTAGTATTATTAAGTGGTAGTAGTAGTAACAATGGTAGTATTGATCGTCGCCAACAACCACTATCTTATCACACTAGGCAAGCAGAAAGTTATCACGCTGGGCAGATAGATGGTGGTGGTCTTCAGCCAACAAGAAGTGAGCAATAATACCGGCCCCTTGTAGCACTGGCCTCACCAAGTACTCTTAAGTCCTGTCACTAAAGGCAAAGGCTCCCCCATGCTAAATATCGGTAAATAAAATTCATCTGGCTAAATAACATTGAACAAAGTCACATGTATGTATATTTCATACATGTTAATTGGTGTAGAGAACCATGGTGTAATAAAGTGAGTTAAAAATAGCACTACTTTGTTCTATATAAAGGTTGAGAAGGTGTGGAAAGCTCAAACTATCCAACCAGGAGCGAACTCGTAACAACGGTTTTAAATTAGAAAAATTTAGATTTAGGCGTGAAATAGGTGAACACTGGTTTGGAAACAGAGTAGTGGATGAATGGAACAAGTTACCAAATATCATCATTAACTCGAATACGCTGAATAGCTTCAAACATAGGTTGGATGCTTATATGAGCAACAGGGGTTGAGTGTAAACGGGACTGCCCAGTATGGGCCAATAGGCCTGCTGCAGTTTCCTCCATTCTTATGTTCTTATGTGTATGGTGACAATGAGCTAAAGGTCTCTGACCAGTGTGAGAAGGTGAATCAAGCAATTAAGCTCGTGAGTCTTAAGAGAAGAGCCTTAAGGACTTCAGATACCTAGACGGTCCATCCCTCTTTACGCTCTTCAGGAGGGAGGTGCTTCCCCATTTTGTCCCTTTGAATCTTTGACACAGTTCACATGATTCTACACTGTCACCCCGAGTGGTCCCTGAGATATGCTGGAGACTCAGTTGATTGAAAATGTTCAAAGGAGGGCCACCAGACTGGTACCTGTATGATGGCGCCTCAGTTACCCAGAGATTAGATCGTCTGCAACTGCCTAACTTATACTATAGACAGGCATGGGGTGACTAATAGAAGTGTATAATCACCTCAAAGGACATTACTCAGTCAAGTGTTCACACCTGGAGCTGGCGAATGCCCACCCTACTAGAGGTCACAACTTAAGGTTAAAGAAGCCACAAGTTCAGAAAATTGTCAGTACAAACTCTTGGAGTGCAAATTGTGAACTCTTGGATCAATCTGTAAGAGAGCATTGTGACGGCACCAAGTGTGAGAGTTTTCAAGACCAGTTTCAACCAACACTGGTGCAGGTACTGTACATACACATTCCGGAGCCAGTACATGCCCAATACTTGCCAACAATACGTAATAGAGAGGTGACTGCCCGCCCAGGCAGTTAATAGACCAATCAGGGGCAGCGAGGACAAAGTAAAGAGGAAGAATAGCATGTTGAAAATATATATTTTGGATATATACAGTATAAACTCAAGGTCAGATAAGATATTATAAAAGGTACATTAAACACGTAAATAAACAGTAAGTCATGCGTCTCTCAGTAATATTTATCCTGTAACAATAACCTCCCTTCCCGACTTGTTCATTTATGGTACAACACAAATATATTATTCAAAACTTAAACTCAATATTTTACTTTTCATTAAATTTATCTCGTCAGCGCCAATCATTCAATGATATATAATCACTCCAGAGAATATTATGTACAAGATTATTGACTGTAATTTGGTGGTTTTAATGGTGCTAATCCTTGTAGTTAGTCGAGTCTTTGAATAATAGTGGTGTTTACACACTCACACACACCTGTACACAACATTCAAACACCTGTACACAACATCCACACACCTGTACACAACATTCACACACACAAACACAAAACTCTTAGCTCTATCATACTTAACCTGACTGACTCTACCATACTTAACCTGACTCTCTACCATATTTAACCCGACCGACAATACATGCAAGCTATATAGGCGATATAACTATAAAATATTAATTTAACATAAACTCAACCAAGCACTCGTAATCTAACATAATTTTCACCTAACCTTAACATTTAACCTATTTCATCATAAATTTAATATGTCTTTAAGCTAAAGTAACCTTAACTTGACATTTACCTAACCTTAACCTAACTATCTGACGTGGCCTTAATCTAGCAGAACATCGACCTAAAATTTTTTTTAATATAAACCTTACATAACATTTAACCTAACATAACTTGATCTTAACCAAACCTAACCAATTATAAGGTTATTTCACGGTTAAATACTGTTATGTTCAAGGTCTGCGATCATCTGAAGATTAGGCACGCCAAGCTTATTTCACCTGATTATTATCTAACAAAACTGCCCCCCCCCCCCCCCTCCATAGCGGACGCCCATGGTGATGGTGTGTGTGTGCGGGCGAGGATGGCGAGTTATCTTTTCTTCTTGTATTATTCCTTGACATGGGATCATACAGCTCGTTAACTTGAGTGTGAACCTGCCAGGTTCAACTTGGTGATCTCAAAGGTATGGTTGCCGGGCTAATGTTTTTAATTTGGGCTAAATAATTCGTATTAAGCTTAATAATAATAACAATAATTGACGATCACCTGAAGAATCTCCACCCTCTCTTATTTCACCTGATAAGCTGGAAATCTTCAGTGACGTGTTACAGCCTGTCCCCCTCACAGGTTACATAACAAAATACCTTCAACAATCCCACAATTCTAAGCAGCTCTGATATAAGTCGATTATTAGAAACACAATAACACTCGGCACCTTCTTGTTCTGTCTGGTACGTGGCGGCGTCGACTGGCGAAACGAGACAGGACTGGGTAATTTTAGTGTTTACAAGACTGTCTGAGATAATATTGGTACCTTAAGGAATCGTCGGAGATTTCAAACAGTTTTACCAATTATTCCACAATACTGGTCTTTCACTTTTTTTTTTCACTTTGGAATGGTTTAAATCCTTTCTTCTGAAACACGTACATGAGTGGTAGGGGGAAGGTAATTATATAGGAAAGCCCCCCCCCCCCCAAACCCGATTGTAGGGGGGGTCAATATCCAAAATCCACCCCAGGATCTACGCCGTTGCTCTTGGTAATGTTCTGAAATTGTATATAGTCTTTTTGGTAATCATCCTATGTTCCATGTAGTTGCGTCTGGCCGCAGTAAGTATCAGGAAAATTATGAGCCAAGAGGTCTGGTTTTAAGCCGATCAGTGGCGAAGAGGATAAAAGTAAAAGTAAATAAACAAATTACTATTTTGGCCGCGTCGTCTCCCCGGCTTTCTAATGACCATACAATTTTTTTTTATTTAATCCTATTCTACCTGTCCTGGTGTTTTTCATGTCTCGGCAACACGATTGTGAGTAATAGTCTGCAGTTGAGTAATTGCGCCATCATCCTAATTTTTATATTCAACGCCTTGTGGAGTTGTTGTTGACGTCAAGGTCGCCAACTCGCCATCTCGCTATGATCCCAGCCCCTCTTGCCTACGAGCCAGTTGTATAAAGGGGGCTGAGGTGTGAGGTAGCTGACAGGTTCCTGTGCTGCTGCCAATACTGTTACTATTGTTATCGCTGTTTCGCTCTTCGTACTGTGAGTATCTCTGCTTTTATCGCTATTACTATTACTGTATGTTTCTTACTCTCGCTATTATCACTAGAACTTGGCACACGCTTCTGTAACAATGTGTATATTTTAGTTATTCTTGTTTTGATGTTTATAGTCTGTAAGAGTGTACCATCGTACGATATGTTTTCCCATGTTGAGTGGGGGGGCTTGTCCTTGGCAGCGCCAGTGGCCAGTGTCCAGCTGACGCTGTGATAATAAAGTCTATAGAGAACTTGGTCTATGACTCCAACCTCCCACATGGCGCACAGTGAGTAGGATATGTCGGGGCCCGACACGCCATTACAGCCCTGACAAGAACGCTGACATGGCCCCTACACGTCCACGATTCTCGACGCCCTCAAGGGGACGCCAGGGCTTCTCTACACCGGCCGGGAACACCACGCGTGCCCAGCAGCAGGCCATGAGTGCATTGATGGCTCAGATGGCGTCTCTAGGTGCTGGCGGTGGTCATGCTTCTATGCCGGTCATGAAGCCCTCAGCAGCTGTCGCTCCAGAGAAGTGTGAGGCAGAAATGCCAGCAGCTGCGTTTAGGACATGGAGGCGGTCCATGGAGTCATGGGTGCTGCTGAACGGGTGGCCACAGCTGGTGGCCACACTCCACATTCGCCTGAACTGCGTCCCCGCACTCCAAAGAGTGATTGACTCGAGATACCCCAGCGGTCAGTGGGAGCAGCTCTCGCCCAAAGAAGCCCTGGACGCCATCAGTGGAATGGTTCTTCAATCTTCAAACCAAGCTGTGAAATGGAACGAGTTTTTCAACAGCAAACAAGGTGAAGAGGAGCCCATGAAAAGGTATTTTCAACGATGCTTCTCAGAAGCAGTGGAGTGTGAGTTTAAATGTCCCACCTGTGATAACGACCTCTCTGAGTACATGCTATTACGTAAAGTTATGGTGGGCCTGAGTAACCCAGTGTTGAAAAGGGAAATTTTCCAGGGGTACTCTAGTTATAATAGCGTTGAAGTGCTTAGAAACAAATGCATGTTATTTGAGGCAGCAGTGAGAGATGCTGGTGTATTGTGTCGTACGTCTGGCCAGGCAGTGGTGGGAACAGTTGCGGAGGCAGTGGCGGGTGGTGATGACGTCACCGGTGAGCCTGAGGTAGCTGCCGCCCGACCTCCACACCCCAGTCGCGGGCAGTGCGGTAACTGCGGCGTGTCACATGCCCCTGGTAAAAGTAACTGCCCTGCAAGTGGGGCTACATGTCGCAATTGCGGTAAGGTTGGTCACTTCAAAAGGTGTTGTAGGAGTAAGTCAGCCCTAAGTGCTCCTGTGGATGTGTCAGGCGCTGTTACAGTGGCAACAGCCCAGCTATCCCGCCACCCCAGGTTACAAGTGTTCGTGTCCCAGGCCGGGGGCAATTCCCCCGCCACCCCTGTGCTGGCTGTAGCCGACACGGGTGCTATGGTGTGTGTGGCAGGCGCATCCCTGCTCCGGGACATCGGTTTGTGTCCGGGGCAACTTCGGGCCCGTAATGGCTTAAGGGACGTGGCGAACAAACAGCTCAAGTGTCTGGGGTCCGCCCCCTGCCGCCTCGGTGTGGACGAGGGGTCCACCGTCCAGGAGGTCTACTTCGTGCAGACAGCCAAGGCCCTCTATCTGTCATTGGAGGCCTGCAAGTGCCTCAACTTGGTGCCTGTCGACTTCCCGCTCCATAGACGTGCTGTGGCTGCCGTGGGCGATGGAGGGGAGCGGCACACTGCCGACGATCTACCTCCGAACCGTTTACCTGAGAGCAGCCGTTTCCCGCCGAGGCCAGTTGAGATACCCTTGCCTCCTTTGGAGGAGAATGTGGCCAGGCTGGAGGCATGGCTACTCACGCACTTTTCGTCTACCGCATTCAACACCAGCAGGTCCCCACTGCCAGTCATGACTGGTCCCCCTCACCGTATCCACCTGACGCCCGGCACGACCCCCTATGCCTGTCACACACCCGCTCCCGTTCCGAAACACTGGGAAGCGGAGGTGAAGGCCCAGTTGGAGGAGGACGTCAGGAGAGGCGTCACCCAGCCAGTGCCTGCTGGTGAGGCTACGGAGTGGTGCGCCAGGATGGTCGTGGTGGCCAAGAAAAACGGTCAGCCCAGGCGCACTGTGGACTTCCAACGCCTCAATGCAAGCTGTCTGAGGGAGACGCACCACACACCTGCACCATTCGACATGGTGTCTGGGGTGCCAGTGCACTCGTTCAAAACCGTCGCCGACGCCTTTTGGGGATTTCATCAAGTGGAGTTGGAGGAGGAGAGTAGACGCCTGACCACATTCATCACGCCGTGGGGACGTTTTCGATACTGCAGGACGCCCATGGGACATTGCTCAGCGTCAGATGCTTACACCAAGAGGTTTGACGACGCTATTCAGGATGTGCCCCGCAAGTACAAGTGCGTGGATGACACTCTCCTCTATGACTCCAGTGTGAAGGGGGCGTTCTGGCACACTTACGATTTTCTGGAGACCTGCGCTCGCACAGGTATCACGCTGAAACCAGAAAAGTTCTTGTTCTGCAGGAGAGAAGCTGAGTTTGTGGGTTTCCTCCTGGGGTGGGACCTGTACCAGCCCACTGCCCAACGTCTGTCAGCCATCAAGGACTTCCCCATGCCGGATCAGCCATCAATCACTGACATCAGGTCCTGGCATGGCCTGGTTAATCAGTTGGCTCCCTTCCTTGCCACTGCACCTGTGATGGAGCCCTTCCGTGAGCTCCTCAAGAAGCCAGTGGGCAAGCAGGTGTATTGGGACGACCAGCTGCGGCTCAAGTTTCGCCAGGCCCAGGACACCATCTGTCAGTTGGCCAGAGACGGCTTGGTGTACTACGACAAGTCCAGGCCTATGGCAGCTGTCACTGATTGGAGCAGGGAGGGCATCGGCTTCGTCGTCCTGCAACAATACTGTGCCTGTGCCTCCAGAGACGCCCTTCTGCTGCAGAGGAGGGTGGCGGTTGGTTCTGTGTGGTAGCCGACATCTGAGCACGGCCGAGACCGGTTATGCTGCAGTAGAAGGGGAGGCCCTGGCTGTGGTGTGGTGCCTGCGCAAGGCCAGGCTGTTCCTCCTTGGCTGCCCGAACCTCATTCTGGTGACGGACCACCGCCCCTTAGTTGGCTTGCTAGGGGACAGAGCCTTCACGGATGTGGCGAATCCGCGCCTGTTCAGGCTCAAGGAGAAGACCCTGCAGTACCGATTCACGGTCAAATACTTGCCAGGGAAGCGGAACTGTGCAGCTGACGCCCTATCCCGCTTCCCCTCCCTCAGGGCGGCGCCTGATGCGGAGGACATGGACCAAGAGGAGGACCTGTGCGCTGCAGTGTGTGCAGTCACAATCGCAGCACTGGATCAGGATGGGTGCATCACTATGGACGAAGACACAGTGTGCAAAGCGGCGGCGGACGACCCAGTGTACCAGATTCTAGTGTCGAGGGTGCTGGCGGGCGACTGGCACCCCCACAAGTCACAGGAGGTGGCCTGTCTGCGCCCGTACTTCTCGGTGAGGGACAGGTTGGCTGTGGTCAGGGGTTTGGTCACCTACACCTTTGACCAGGGCTGCGTGCGCCTTGTCATCCCCGACTCCCTCCGCCACCGGGTCGCCGTTAACCTGCATGTGGGGCACCAGGGCCTCGACTCAATGCTCAGGCGGGCCCGGCAGTCTGTCTATTGGCCTGGCATGGAGGGTGACCTGCAGTATCATCGGTCCCGGTGTGCTGCTTGCGAGACCCACGCCCCTTCCCAGCCTCCGGAGTCGTTGGTTCTGACCCCAGCGCCAGACTATCCCTTTCAACAAGTGGTGGCCGATTTGTTCCACCTGCAGGGCCGCACGTACCTAGCATATGCTGACCGACTGACAGGTTGGCTGGAGATCGCCCACTTCCCCAACGAGGCCACCTCTGGAAAAATCATCGCCAGTCTGCGGGCCTACTTCACGAGGTGGGGGGTACCTGAGCAGATCTCCACAGATGGAGGTACCAACCTTGCCAGCCTTGAGATGACAGATTTCCTCAAGTCATGGGGGGTCGAGGTGCGCCTCTCGTCGGCCCACTTCCCCCAGTCCAATGGCAGGGCAGAGGCTGGGGTCAAGGCTGCCAAGAGGCTCCTCAGGGATAATACTGGGCCCGGGGGTAGCCTGGACTGCGATAGGACATCCCAGGCCCTCCTCCAGTACCTGAACACGCCTCTGCGGGGGGTGAACAAGTCGCCCGCCCAACTTGCCACCGGCCGCCAGCTCCGTGACGGCGTTCCCGTGGCCAGACAGCACTATAAGGTGGACCAGCACTGGCGGCGGGCACTTCGTATGAGGGAGGTGCGCTTGGCCGAAACACAGGATGGGGTCCTGTCGCGGAGGGAGGTATCCCGCCAGCTGGCTCCCCTAGTCGTGGGCACGCAGGTGCGTGTGCAGGACGCAGCTACCAAGCTCTGGGACAGGACAGGCATAGTGGTGGAAGCCCGCCCTCACAGGCAGTATGCCGTCAGGTTGGGTGGCAGTGGCAGGGTGTCCATCCGAAACAGACGCCACTTGCGAAACGGCTCCACACCTGTGCCTACTACTCCGGTGGTGCACCAAGCTGTGCCTCCTGGGCCCCCTTCTGCTGTGCCCTCCATACCCGCGCCCTCCTCCGCGCCCACGGCCCCTCCCCAGTCGAGCGCGGCCAGGCCCAGGAGAGGCCGTAGGCCTCCGGGCTGGTTGACGGACTACGTGGTGTAGCGTATGTGATGTAAAATCAGTTTAGAGGTTTGTTTTTGTTTTTTTTTCCTTTGTTTGACTCGATTTTCCTGCATTATTGTTGTTTTTATGAATGCATTGTTTTCCTTTTGTTAGTTCAAAGGTGCATTGTCATTTCCTTTTAACTTGGGGGGAAGATGTAAGAGTGTACCATCGTACGATATGTTTTCCCATGTTGAGTGGGGGGGCTTGTCCTTGGCAGCGCCAGTGGCCAGTGTCCAGCTGACGCTGTGATAATAAAGTCTATAGAGAACTTGGTCTATGACTCCAACCTCTCACATAGTCACTACCAGTATTTCACCCTATTTGTTTTATTATGACTATTATTCTATTATTCTGTGTATACAATACATAAGACCCCTTGCACTGATGCCATAGAAAACGTTTATATCCGCCACATTGGGATATAACTTTGTTTTGAGTGCTGGGTGACACGTGACTCGTGATTGAGGATGGCTGCGAAGTCTAGCAATAAAAAAGCGTGGGAAGGGCTAAAAGGGCCTGTTAGCCGGGTATTATGACAGCCTAACATATGCAGAGTCTAGCAAAAGATAAAATTAAAAGAGATATGTTGGGACATTTGGACTCCCATGATCCATGTTGATTCCGTAATAATAGTTCTTCGCGACCTAAAGCACAATTGTTTCTTATAGGCCATATATATATATATATATATATATATATATATATATATATATATATATATATATATATATATATATATATATATATATATTCGTTTTTTACTTTTATTGTCTTTGCCAGCTTGGTCAGCCTATTACGTCTGTTACGCACTGAATGATCAATTACGTTACCCAATCGTATGCCCGGCACCATGGCTTGCATACAAATCCCGGTTGGGTAAATTTTTACTTTAGGACATGAGTCCCAGCATGTTTTTTCCAGTGTATTTTGGTGTGTTTTAAACGAATCCGTACCTTGGTTCCTCCCTTTGAAAAAATTCAATTTCGATGGGTCGAAAATAAATTCGCGTGATGAGATCGATACATTGTAGTGGACGTCTCCCCTACAACTGCCTACAACTGCGTAGCCGCAGCCACCAGCTGCTACCATCTTCCCTGGCAACCAAACTAGCCGCAAGGGGGGGGCGTCACCAGATGCCGCAGTATCTTAGCAACGGAACCAAAGACCGACGACTTTCTCGGGTTTTCCCAACATGACTCGTAGATGACTCACGGCTGCTGGGTATATAAGCTCTGTCTCTCCATTGAGATTCATTCTGGCCTCTCTTCCTGAACACGCAACACCTCTTCCAGCAAGCTCCTCGCTGTCCAGCTTTCATTCAACCAGGAGGCCAGCAACAGGCAACATCTTCTCTAACGAAGCTCCTGCACATCTACCTCCTACAACATGCTACTCACCGAACGTGTCTACTGAGCAGCTCCTCACCACACGGCACCTCCAGCACCAGACTGTCTACCATATAACTTATATTATATAAGAAAACCACCTTAGATTTTCCATCCATCCTGAGTGCTAGACAACATTATACCACGAAACCCTACAACATCATTGGTCAAGACTGGGAGACTTTACGCATACGTGATGTAAACACGCTCATAATTAGCTCGCTTTCACGATGATAACATCACACAGACGACTACTGAAAAGTATGCAAAATCAATTAAATTCAATTGTGTTACTGTTATCCATTTCCTCCAGGTATATATGGGGTTCAAAATGCTCAGAATAGGGAGATCTAAATGTTTCAGTAGTTTATAACTTTGGGGCGCACTATGTCCGAAAGTAAAATTATACCCCCAGTTGCAATTAAGCTTTCTATAGTTCCTCGGCTAGTCGTACAACAAAACTTGCTACTCTCTTTCGTTGATCAGTTCTCACCAGCAGAAACTAGTTTGGTCCTGGCAGTGCCACCTTGGTGTATCTCCAGACGGGTAATGTTTATGTTATGTCGTGTTCCCCCAAGATGGAGCTAACCATAAAGTCAAGCGATGCATGGCGTCATGTGTACGAGGCCTATCATGACTATTGTATCCGTAAATACATTTACCTGGATATTTTGCCTCTTGTGATAATTACCTGGTCATGTAGGTAATAAAAGTCAGAACTGTTGATTCATGTGTGCTACTGGTAGCTAAGGATATATAAAGCTTTCTTGTCCATATATCCGATACATACCGATATATATATATATATATATATATATATATATATATATATATATATATATATATATATATATATATATATATATATATATATATATATATATAGTACATATAAACATACAACACATACGCATACGTACAGGCAGAAGACATACTAATACGATCACTTGCACACACACACACACAACAATGCACAAACTGATTCTTATATAAATTTTCCCCCTCAACTCCAATAATTCGTATATATTATGTGTACAGAGAAGATATATTAACATAATGTTCAATTAACTTTGTCATTATAAGCACTTAACTCATCTCCGGTTCAGGTATTGTGTTTGTGAATGGTGTGACGTCACTTGTCATTCACAAACCCCCATACATACTTTATTTCATTATGGAAGATGTGAGAAGTGTAGCACCCATAGTAAACACAACCACATGCTTCTTGTTCCCCTCCCGGTAGTAGTAGTGAGGTACAGTACTGTGTATGTGTCTCCTCCAGCAGTAGTAGTGAGGACGACAGTATGACTGATAAGGGGAAGACAGTCGTGTTGGCCTACTCTGGGGGCCTCGATACCTCCTGCATCCTCGTGTGGCTCCGTGAACAAGGATTCGACGTCGTGGCGTACCTGGTGAGCTCCCCCCCCCTTTCTTTTTGTCCCCTTTTACGCACCCTTTTTAAGCCCCCCTTTTGACACCATTTTTATGCCCTTTTTTGGCACACCCATTATTGACGCTCCCAATAGAATTACCCCAAGATATTTCCCAACTGAATATCCCCATGATATTTCCACATGATATTTCTCCATACTATTTCGCTCTAATGTCTGTAATATCTCCGTCAGGCCGACCTTGGACAGGAGGAAGATTTCGAGAAAGCTAAGAGAAAAGCTACAAAGTTAGGAGCTAAAGAGGTAAGATGGGAGAGAGCTTCGGGAGATCTTTAGCTGCTGTTAGTGGTAGAGATTTTTTTTAGCTGTTAGTGTTGATTTTTTTGCTGTTGTAGCATGACTCAGCATGTTACAAGAATAAACACAGATGGTATTATCAAATTCGAGCCATCAAATGTACTGTTTATACACCATCTGTTGTATGACAGGTGGTAGTGGAGGACCAACAACGGGAGTTGGTGGAGGACTTCGTGTGGCCAGCTGTGAGGGCCGACTTGGTGTACGAGGACCGCTACCTACTGGGGACGGCGCTGGCCAGGCCTTGTATAGTGAGGGGCCTCGTGCGTGTTGCTGAGAGAGTCGGCGCAGGTGAGATACTGTACCCGCCCTGTATACCTGTAGGTGAGGAGGATTACCTGTAGGTTAGTGGGTCCTACAGGTAAATGGGAGCCTCGTAAATATGATGCTCCGGGTCCCTATAGACTTTGGGGTGATTTGTATTTAAGTAACTCGTTTTTTATGCCTATAAAACCTTCATAATATTAGTGTTACTTTTCCAAAACCGCCAACGATATTTTGGGACTGTACTTGACTCATACGGGATGCTACACCGCCATGTATAGGTAGGAAATTAATTAAAAGTGTGAGGTGTGTAGGACATACTTAACGTGGTTATTTCCTCCCCTGGCAGGATACGTGTCGCATGGAGCTACAGGGAAAGGCAACGATCAGATCCGCTTCGAGCTAGGCTGTTACGCCCTCTGTCCCGACATCGAGGTCAGTTATTACCGAGAGAAATTTTAATGTGATGGTGTTAATGGTGCTGATGGTACAGGTTTGGGCATCTAGATGATGCACACGACCCTGTTTTATAAAATTAACCGTCCGTCCAAAGGAAACCCAATCAGATGCATGGGATTGAACACACCCCCAGTGTTTTTAAATCTATTTACGACTGAACTGATAATGATTGGGCATTCAGTTTTAAAGAATGTATGTTTTGTTAGTTATTCAGACTTTAATATACTAGTTTAGGGCTATTTTATATTACTTTCAGATCTTCCTAAACTAGCTTTAGGCCATATTAAAGTAGACTTGTTTTTAGACTATTATTAGCCAGTTTCAGTATGTCTTGGTTCCTTCTCCTTCAGATCATATCACCGTGGAAGGACCCGGAATTCTACGAGAAGTACCCGGGTCGTATAGAGTTGTTTGAGTATGCCCGGAAACACGAGATCCCCCTCCCCATCACCCCCAAGGCCCCCTGGAGCATGGACGCCAACATTCTCCATATTAGGTATAATCCCTTGTGAATTCCATTGCCTCTTTTGTGCTTGTACTATATCTGTCTCTATTTACAGTGTTATTCCCCCTTTACCATCTCATATCCACCACCTCCCCTTACTCCTTCAGTTACGAGTCAGGGATCCTCGAGAACCCTGCAACACATCCACCAGAGGGCATCTTCCAGTTAACCACCGACCCAGAGAAGGCCCCTGACACCCCACAGATCCTCACCATCACCTTCTGCGCTGGTGAGCCACTGATACCCTCCCAGGTGTCATCCCCCCCCCCCTATCTTATTAAACCCCCTTCACTATGATATTAACGTCCCTCACTATGGCGTGTTCCTCAGCCACCTTCTCCTTCACCTAGGTGTAACTCGACTCCGTATCTTAAATCTTTCCTACTAACTAGACCATCATCCTAACTTCTCTACCACCAAGCCAAGGCAACCACTCAGTCCCCATCGTCTCTCTTACTAAGCCACCCTCCCCCTATCTTGTGAAGCTCCATAACCTAACCCTTCGCCTTCTACTCCAGCACCTAACCCACCCTCCCTCTCTCCCTTCCTTCCTCCAACCTTTGACTTTACTAACTCAGGTAACCATCACCTGTCCTCTTGCTACAGGTGTGCCCACGAGAGTGAGTGTGGCGGGCGATGCGAAGCAGGTGACGGATCCTCTGGAGATCTTGCGCACTTGTAACAGAATTGGGGGCCAGCACGGCGTCGGCAGGATTGACATAGTCGAGAATCGCTTCATTGGCCTCAAGGTGGGTGTGGAACCCTTTTGGTGAACGTCGGGGTAGATAGCATTTGTAATTCAGGTAATATAGAGAACTGAATCATCGTTGCAAGGTGTGTGTGAGTGTGGATTCTCAGGGGAATACAGTATCATCTATTCTCCATTCACATAATTGTGAATGAAATGTTATAGACAAATTATACTTTGACACCATCTCTCTCTCTCTCTCTCTCTCTCTCTCTCACTTGTTTATATTTTCCTTGTTTTGGTTATGGGCGTGTGTCGTGCGTGGGCGTTGGTGGGCGTAAACAGTGTCGGGGAGTGTACGAGTCGCCCGGGCTGACGGTGTTGAGGGCGGCTCACCTGGACCTGGAAGCCCTGTGTCTCGACCGTGAAGTGAGGAAGATCAAGGCTCACCTCAGTCACCGTATGGCCGAGCAGGTCTACAACGGTAAGACAGACACACACACATACAGGTACACACAAAAGACATCACATATACCTAACAGTATCACCTGTCCCTTCACTAATTCATAAATGATCTTCTTAAAGGTATATTACAGGTGTGTCTAATTAACATATGACTACACTGTTTAATTCATGTCTTCCTGTTTATGTATTACTGTGACGTAACTATTACACTACAGCTGTATTTTGGTATTTAAATCATGTAGAGTGACATTCAGCTGTATTACTGTATCCTAACATGAGGCTGTATTTTGCAGGGTTATGGTACAGTCCGGAGTTTGAGTTTACCGACAGATGCATCGCTGACTCCCAGAAGATGGTGACAGGCAGTGTTACCCTCAAGGTGTACAAGGGCGGAGGTAAGTAGTGATGATAGTGGTGACTGGCAGTGTTACCCCTCAAGGTGTACAAGGGCGGAGGTTAGTGGTGATGATAGTGGTGACTGGCAGTGTTACCCTCAAGGTGTACAAGGGCGGAGGTAAGTAGTGATGATAGTGGTGACTGGCAGTGTTACCCTCAAAGTGTACAAGGGCGGAGGTTAGTGGTGATGATAGTGGTGACTGGCAGTGTTACCCCTCAAGGTGTACAAGGGCGGAGGTTAGTGGTGACTGGCAGTGTTACCCCTCAAGGTGTACAAGGGCGGAGGTAAGTAGTGATGATAGTGGTGACTGGCAGTGTTACCCCTCAAGGTGTACAAGGGCGGAGGTTAGTGGTGATGATAGTGGTGACTGGCAGTGTTACCTCAAGTGTACAAGGGCGGAGGTTAGTGGTGATGATAGTGGTGACTGGCAGTGTTACCCTCAAGGTGTACAAGGGCGGAGGTAAGTGGTGGTAGTGATAGTGGTGACTGGCAGTGTTGATCTCAAGGTGTACAAGGGCGGAGGTAAGTGGTGATGATGATGGTGACTGGCAGTGTTACCCTCAAGGTGTATAAGGGCGGAGGTAAGTGGTGATGATAGTGGTGACTGGCAGTGTTACCCTCAAGGTGTACAAGGGCGGAGGTAAGTGGTGGTAGTGATAGTGGTGACTGGCAGTGTTGATCTCAAGGTGTACAAGGGCGGAGGTAAGTGGTGATGATGATGGTGACTGGCAGTGTTACCCTCAAGGTGTATAAGGGCGGAGGTAAGTGGTGATGATAGTGGTGACTGGCAGTGTTACCCTCAAGGTGTACAAGGGCAGTGGTATGTAGTGATGGTGAAGATAGTGACACTAGTGCTGGTGGTGATAATGGTGGTACTAATAGTTGGTAGGTGACGATAAGTGACAAAAATGATAGTGATAGCGAATGATGGTGAAGGTTTTAATGAAAGTTCCGAGATTTTGATAAAGTAACAGTTTTACCAATGTTTATATGTAGGATAGAGACGAAGAGAAGAAAGATATAGAGAAACAGAGGCAGACAGAAAGGGAGAGAGAAAATAGCAGAGAGATAGAGTGAGGGACAGAAGTTAAAAAGAGAAAATGACAGAGAGATACACGCATGTAAACAAACTTATAATCAAATACCCCTGTACACACAATTATAATCGATTTTTTTACGCCAAAACTTTTTAATTAATACATGTATACGAATGAGTGTATGTATAATGATAAATTAACAAAGACAAATAAATGTTAATACACGCAATCACATATAGACATTCACGTACACAAAAACATTCTCATACGCACACATATGGACTACTACACCATCCTCATCATTGCCACCTCCTGCCACCGGCAGCCCCCCACCCACCTCGCGCAGTCCGCCACTACAACAAAATTCGGCCCACAAGAGCCCGCACCGATAGACATAAAAACAGCACCATCCCATCTATTGTTAAAATAATAAACAACTCCTGATTTATGTACTATACAGCCCTGTAAATGTATTCAATGCATATTATATCATTATGTCTAAATCAAATGTAAGTCTGTATATTTTCAGCCACCGGCTGCAACTCTATTAATAAATCGTTTATTATTATTATTATATATATGCTATTTACATACACGGAAGTAGATAAATGTTAGTAAACGCAACAACATACAGACACTCAAGTACACAAAAATATTCACATTCGCACACATACACGCTCTTTACATACACGGACGTACTGTATATAGTGGTGTATATATTTTACTTACCTCTACAGTGTACGTGCTTGGGAGGGAGGCGCCCGTGTCCCTGTATAACAAAGAGCTGGTGTCAATGGATGTCCAGGGCGACTACCAGCCACCAGACGCCCGAGGCTTCATCCGCATCAACGCCGTGCGCCTCAGGGAACACCACCGGGTCAAGAACGCCAGCAACTGATGGCTAGAACCGTAGAACGTCGACTGGGAGGGTGGAGAGAGGGCTGGAGGTCAGTTATGTTATAGATAGAGGTCCAGTCAGTTATGTGATGGGTAGAAAGGTCTGGAGGTCAACAACATGATGGGAAAATGATGTAAGGTCAACCGAGTTTCCCTTTTGGTAGTAAATAAACCGACCTGCCCCAAGAAATTAAACCTCCTAGTTCTCAAGAAGTTCTTTGAAACTAAAGGGATCGGGGGTTACCAAGGTGGAACGACTGAAGCTGCATGGAGTAATCAAGATCACCTTCGCCGAGTATGGTATGCCCGTACAACTCGCGGAGATCCCCGACATCAACGGCATCCAAATACAAATGATTGCCCACGATTGGGACAACCTGAAGCTGGGAGTAATCTCCCACGCCGAAATTGCCCACGTGGACCAAGAAGAGCTGGACGAACTACTCAAGGGACAACTCAAATGTGTCAAGAAGCTGTCCGACACCACTGCCCTCGTCGGACACCACGAAACCCTACCCAAGGAGGCTCAACTGGCGTGGGTAACTGTGCCAGTCAAGCCTTTCTGCAGACCCAAACGCTGCTACAAATGCCAGCACTACGGTCACATCATCAACAAGTGTGAGGCGCAGGACACCTGCTCCCTGTGCGGTAGCCCCGGACACCGCTACACCGTCTGCCCCAACACAGTGAAAAAATGCGCTGCCTGTGGCGGCCCACATTCCTCCGCCGACCGGATCTGCCCCAAATGGAATGAGGAATGCAGGATAGCCAAGGCTCGTCTCGACAAGAAACTGAGTTACAAAGAGGCTCTCCTTGCTGTACACGCCCAAGACAAGAAAAAACAAGAAGAAAAGAAAAATCAAGAAAGAAGACCCAAGAAAAGACACATTACCAAGAAACAAGAACACCACGAGACCCCAGGGGCAGAAGCCCTCATCAAGATCACCCCCTCCGACTTCATCCACATCTACGAACACCGAGGAAGACGAAGAACAGGACCCAAACACAACTGAATGGACACTCCAAGAGAGCAAGAAGAGGAGGAGAGTAAGAAGAAAATCAACTTCAAGCTAACAAGAATACCAAGACAGAAGACCAAGACATTTCCTCCAAACAAGAAAACACCACACCCAACCCAACACGCACCTGACGCTCACCTGACTCTGGGCCCTGCCACCTCCTCGCCGCGTCCGGGCGGGTTCCTGCTGCCTCCAACTTAAAACCCAAAATAACGCAAGCGGTGTTTAGCCACTGCACATTTTTTCTCCTTCTAAAATTCACTTCAGACCTCCCTTTATCCTTCCCCTGAACCTCCTTCCCCCCTGTCACTAGCCTTTGTTCGTTCTGTTCGTGATTGTTTGGTTATCACTACTAATGTCATGTATTGTGTTCAGTTCTTTTTTAAACCAAGTATTTGAGACTTCCAAACCTAACATAACATGTTGGTTTGTATACACTAGGATCATGTCTATTTTCATTAATATATATATATATATATATATATATATATATATATATATATATATATATATATATATATATATATATATATATATATATATATATATATATATATTTCATGTAAATCCACAATGAAAACGTGGATAAGGTAAATCTTGATAAAATCACAGGAAAATTGAAACAACAGGTACCTTGAATAAGCAAAAGCTAGGTGCTCGTTGTTTTTATTATATATATATATATATATATATATATATATATATATATATATATATATATATATATATATATATATATATATATATATATATATATATATATATATATATATATATATATATTCAAGTTTAATAAATTGCTCTTGTTATTAAGTGGAATTCTGTTTTCATAACTGTTAACTGTTAAATTATAATAATTATTTTATAACAGTTTGACAGTATGCTATATTATAGTATGTGGGTTTATTTTGTGTTTGTTTTTTATGGTTAGTCGTTAGAAGTATTTTGAACACATCTTTTGTTTGTTTTTTGTTGTCTCACTGGTGGTAAATAAAAGTTGTAATAATAGTTGTTATTAAATGCCTGACAAGAAACTCGCTTAAACGCTCGGAACTGATGGTGAGAGATTGAAGTGATGGCCACATGCAAGGTTATGGTCACACTCTTGTACACACCATGATGGCCACATGCAAGGTTATGGCCACACTTGTACACCATGATGGCCCCATGCAAGGTTATGGCCACATGCAAGGTTATTGCCACACTGCTATACTGTATATACTAAGCTGGCCATACTTGTACACACTATGCTGGCCCAAACCAAGGTTATGGGTACACTCGTATAATGTTGTACACACTAAACTGGTCACAATTAAGATCATGGCCTCATGTACTTAACTCTGGTTTGGTGTAGAGCAGCAAAACGAAGCTTCGTGATTTATGAAGGTAATATTTTTCTGATACTTTTTTTTTTAAGAAATTTCAACTAACATCAATACGGTTGAGTTTAAATTATTTTTCCCAGCAGGTTCCACAATGAAAATATTTGACCTGACAGTTGCAAAATCCGAAACTATTATCCTTTCCCAGGGGCAAAAGTATTAATTGGGCTTTTCCCGGAGTATTGACGCTGTTAACTGGGTCTGGAGAGGTCAATTCACCATCACTAGATTAATTAAGAAATCCCTGGCCTGTATTCCCCCCAGAAATTTATATGGCCCTTAAAAGTCGATCGTGCTATTATCAACTCGAAACTGGGAACAAACATATGTCTCATAGCTATTGTATTCAGCCTACATAAGCTAGCCTCATCTGTTAGCCTGCTACCTTGTTTCTTAAGTAAATGAGAGAAAGAAGTAAATTAAATAAGAAATAAGACTGAGAGGAAGGTGTGAATCATCGTCTCCTCGCCTGGCTTCTTGCTATGAGTCAGCGGCCACCATGCACACCTCTGGTAGTGAAGGAGGCCCACGGGATGTTAGGATCTTCAGTTCTCGATGATCTCGCCACTGTTTCGTCAATTCTAAGCAGTGTTAATTGATGTTTTCGTTTTTGTTTGAGGAGTCCGTTTCAAAACACTTAGCCAAGCATCTTTTTCAGACATAATTCTAGTCACCCTGCGCTCCATTCATTTTAGTGATATAACTTTTTGTATGTGGTCTCCATGCTTGTATAAAAAAGCAATCCAGGTAAGTACGCATGAGCAATTTAAGAAACTGAGTAATTATATTTACTTCCTGTCCAGTAGTACGAGTTGAGTCGTGGAATTTGGTCGGCCATTCAATTTGTCACAGCTTTTTCCTCTGAGCGAAGTCATAATCACAGCTGTTTCCTGTTGCGTTTTTGCCAGGTATTCCTTCTCTACTGGCACCAGGTAAGTGTTGTCCGTACGCTAAATGTGACTTACGTGATTTTGCCCCACGTAAAGACAAACGCGGAAGAGCTATTACACGGCTAGGTTAAACATCATAATTATCATTTCGCATTCCTTACACTGCAATGTCCTCTTACCTTGCTACTTGGCCTTAAATCTTTGTATTATCCACAACTATGTTTATGTATTTCGTTATTATTTCGTCTTTTGTCAATAGATCATAAACGTTAAATCTTCAAGTATGTATATTTTACTATTCAATAAATCGACTCAAAACTTTTTTCTACCTCCAGCGACATCCATATAATTCAGTCTCATATTTTTTTATTGTTGGTGGATTAATGTAATTACCAACCTCATTTCGCGCCTAAAGGGGAATGCAGACCTTAGTTATTGAAGCGTTTTCTTTTGTCATAACACCTAAAATTTGTTGGATATTCATGCAGCCCCATTTTTAAACTAATTATGTACCAATGATTAGATAGGTTAGATAATACAAGTTTATTATAGCCATATGCGATCTTAAGCCAAATGTGTTTATGAAAGAAATATGAAAAATATTGAATAACGTTTTCGTGGATAAATTTATCCATTCCACCTTTTTATAAGAAATACAATTATTTTTACAATTTGATTTTCTAAACTTACATTATTATTCTTACGCTTAAAAAATATAAATAAGTAAAACCTTAATTTAGGATAGATCTGGATGTATGGTAATTAGAGTAAGGTGTAGTGTGTCACCTGGTGGTCCGTGTCACAACCGACCCAAACTTTGACAACAACACAAATCCGCCAAAAGGTTGTCCAGTCCCATCTTCTTTCTTATATATCACAATTTAACGTTATGGCTGGCAATTTCTGGCAAAGTGCCCACTAGTAAGTGTTCTTAATGTAAACTTTATTCTATAACCTGTAACTTAAGTGTGTTGTATAGTCGAGTTAAAATATATTAATTTTTTTAATGTGGGTTTTTATCTGATTATTTTTGTTGTGCTTACAGTCGGTATTGTTCAGTTTATTTTTATCAGAGATCCAGTACTACCAACTCCTGTGATCAAAATTAGACCAGTTACCATATAAACATTTATAATAGAACTAACTTCCCCTAACCTGACCAGTCTACCGTAAATGTAAGATCTTTTAGTCTGGTTGAATTTGGGTTATGTGGTAACTAGGTCAAGGATACAGATACAATGCAATTATGATTCGGTAATGGATATTGACGGACCTTCATATTGATTTTTATACAGGGAGAATACTTTATAGCAAGGTTAGGTTAGGTTAGATCATTTTTAGTAGTGTCTCCATATACAGTACATTATCGAACCCTTACCAACAATGGCACAGTTTTACCAGGAATTTTCATCTGAAGTTTCGTCATTTTACTTTGTTCGTTTACTTGTTAGTGTTCTAGTGTAGGGGTGTAATTTATTAAGAAAAATACATGTCTAGGATATGATCATAGGATAGTTTGTAATGGGTTCAGTTTTGGTATACAGTACTGTAGTTTATATGCAGAGTTTTCATGTAGCAAAAACCAAATCTGTAGTACTCTGGATCAGTGGTGTAGATTAACCAGGATCCATAGACATTTTTTGTTTAATGATAAATTTGCCTTTCTTATGTTGAGAAGAATGATAGGTAGTTCTTTACATATCTTCCAGGGAGACACACGTAATTTTCTTCATAAGGTCAAAAGTGAAAAAATAATCATAAATATTCCCAGCTGTGAAAGGAAGCAGAGATTTGTGTTCAGGAGAAAATAAGTTTTCTTCTATAGAGATTTATTATTAGGGGGTGGGTTAACCCAGACACTTGTTCTTAACTATAACCAGTAACTTCTTTTTATCTTCAGAAAATCCCCCCCAAAATTATGAGGATTTGCAAATTCTGTAATGTAATATTGTTTGTTTTCAAAATTAATATATGTCCACCTGCAACATTCTGCCAACACTGTTCATGCACTGAGCATTTCATGTACACACCAACTGCAACAGTTCCAACAACTGTCACACACACACAGACTTAACCTTCCTATCCTAGGATGGAAGTACTGCACTTTGTAGAAGTACAGTACTGTACTGCTTATCAGTCTCATTTTATTGCAAAATTAGTTACAGGTGTTATCAGTAGCATAAAGTAATATTTTTCTTCTTCGTTATCTTATTTTTCTTCATCATTTTCTTTCTCTTAATCATCATCATCTATTTCTATAGCTGTCAAGTCTCAGTTATATACAGTATTGGTTTCTATCAAATTTACAAGCTGTTTGTAATTAAACATAATTTTTCAGCCAGCAGTGGCTCCTGGACAGTCAGGATCTGATCCAGGAGCGCCGGGCAGACCTGGAGGTTCTCACCGAGGAGGAGTACCACAAGGTTATGATATTCTTTGCCAACTGTAAGTCACTCTAGTTTGTGATCTCACCGTGTTATAGTGGAAAGACTTTTCTCCGATAACCATCTAAATAATCATGAAATATTAATATTATGCAGTGGAACCAAAAACTCAGAGCAAACAATCCTGAAAATCTTAAAGTCTTATCTTCTTGGTATATATTGTGCAGTACAGTATATGCATGTATAGTTATAGGCTTTCCTAATATTGCATATTAGAAATTAGATTTATTTATTTGTGAGTACTATACAGTGCCTTTCTTTAGATAAATGAGTGCCTGTGAATATACCTGTCTGAATATTCAGTGAATTATCACCATCACCACGGATGATAATGATTCATTGAGTAGTTATCAGTAAAGTTCTTTGTCTGGCTCTAAAAGTATCAAGTGTCAAGTACATAGCAAAGGTTTAAGTTGATATTGAACAGTAATGAATATAACATTTCCCAAATTCACATTGTGTTTTGCAAACTGTTTGTAATTGATACTTACTTATATTTTTTTCAGTTATTCAACAGCTCGGTGAAACCCTCAAGTTACGACAACAAGTTATTGCCACAGCAACAACCTTCCTGAAGCGATTCTATGCAAGAAACTCCCTCAAATGTATTGATCCTCTTCTCCTGGCCCCCACCAGTGTCTTCCTCTCTTCCAAGGTGGAGGAGTTTGGTGTTATCTCCAACAGTAGATTGATCTCCACCTGCCAGACTGTAGGTAAGCCAGTACACTACATGACTCATTTTTAAGGTCCATTGTGGAAGACATCATGGTTGGGGGGATATTGAGAAGGTGGACTTGGGAACCAGGGCTGCTGCTTCCCTTCCAGCCCTTTAACTTCAATTACTCTCTAATCAAGGGATATGTCCTAAGGTTAGAACCTTTCATTTATAATAACTGGCAGCCTTGTTGGAATACCATTGCTGGCCCAATTAAGCTTTAGGAGATTGCAATGGAAATATTCTGGACATATCCCTGGTTGAATGCCCCAGAAGTGGGAGACTACCCTGGCCAGGCTTCACACCAACACTGGAAAATGGTCATAAAGTGTTGTTGATGAAGCACAACATTTTAAAAGTGACTCATACTACTGTACTTGTTATTACTTATCATACTTTTCTTCCGAGGGCTAAGGATTTGCCTGATCTTCCCCTTTATGTTAGCACCTGCTCCTTCAACCCCACTAAGGGCACTCCATTTTAATTAGAATCATGTTCCTCTTTATAAAGTTTACTCCTTTGAAAATATTCTTCCCCTTTTTAGAAATTCATTGCTGTTTTTCGAAGATACTATATCCTTTCAAAAATCCTGTAACTATGCTCCCTAAAAAATTCATATGCCCTTTCTAAAACTGTACACACATTAAAATCCTCTAGCCTACACTTTCTGAAATTCTAGGCCCTTTCAGAAATACTGTATCCTCTTTAAAAACCCTACACCACCTCAAAAATCCTATATCCTCTTTGAAACAATTTGCCCTGTTTACTTGGTATATCCAACCAGCCCTCACACACTTCCTTTTATCATGTGTATACATATACTTGTACAGGTACTTTTGTGTCAGCGTTAGGATACACTTGGAGCTTGCATGTGTTGTGTGACTGATTCTATCATTGCTTTTCAGTGAAGAACAAGTTTGCCTATGCATACTCCTCAGAATTCCCATACCGAACAAACCACATCCTTGAGTGTGAGTTTTATTTGCTGGAGAGTATGGACTGTTGTCTCATTGTCTACCAGCCATACAGGTGAGAATGTTACTATAATGTGTTAAAACTGTTTAAATAACAATTATTAATCTAGATAACTATACTGCACTGTATTGCAATTACTGTACTGGTATACTGAAGAATGTGAGTTTGAAATGATATTCAGGTACAGTAATTTATTTGTATGAAAGGTTGTGGAGGGCAGTTGTCTTATCTGTTGGTGGTGGCAAACTGTCTGAAGCAAGTGACAACCAATTTTGCACAAAAATACTATATCTGTCTTGAAGCCTACAATTATAACTTAGAAAAGTTACTTTCCTCTGGCATTGTAATTTATTTTCAGGAATCGTAACAAAAATATATAAGTGTTTTGAGGTTGGTGTTTGCTACATTTATATATGTAAATGCATACTGTATACATATACCAGAAACTTTATGTAAACCTATCCAATAAATGTTTTATGTATTTCAGACCTTTGGTACAGTACATGCAAGATCTAGGTGGGGAGGGCGAGGTGTTACAGCTTGCTTGGCGGATTGTCAATGACTCCTTAAGAACTGATGTGTGTCTCCTCTTTCCTCCCTATGAAATTGCTCTCTGTAAGTTGAAGATACTGTATTGTATAACTATATAAACATAAAAAGCATTTTAGGATATATTAACCTCTTTGTTACGAGGGGCCGATATGACCTTAAAACCCCAATCAGAGGTACCAAATGTACCTGTACTTCTCTTGGGCAAGGGGATAGGCAAGCCCCACAGTCGGGCTTGGTGGGCTAATATTTCAGGTTTGGTTTTTACTGTCTGGCTCTAAAACAAAAAATTGTGAGAACAAGACAAATTTTGGTGAAATCTTGTGAAATTCATGAAATCAATGCAGTTGCAATGAGCTGCTTTATTTTTTAATGTTCCTTTTTTTTTCATTTTTCCTTCCCTTCATTTTTGTTAGATTCTAAATCGCCTTCTTTAGTTGGATACTTGCTGCTTATATATTTTGACACAAACCCCCTCTTGCCTGCTCCCCCTCCCAGTGGATGCCCCTGTCATGGTGAGAACTCACTCTGTCATTGACTTTTTCCTATCCAGATTGAATTTGTTAGTGGGTTAACAACTACAGTACTGTACTGTAAAGTCATAGAAATTACACAAGAACTCTGCCATAGCTGTCCCACCAATCAAAATTAACTATACCGACTGTAAGATGCAGTGAAAGACCACTTTGTATGGGTACAGTATTAATATAAGTTGTGTAGCTAAAGGTGGCAGCATCACCTTTAACAGAAGCTTTCCTTTAATCTTTGCTGAAAGCAAGGAAGTTAGTTAAAGCTTAGCAGTTAGGTGAGAGCTGGTCAAAGAAGATTATGTACCGTACAGTATATACTGTATATGTATTTTATTTTTTTACCGTAATGCTTTTAGTTATTCTTTAAATGTGTTTTTAATTAATTTTTATTTTATTTTATAAAATATGTTTTGTCTAATTGATGATGTGTATTTACAGCATGTATCCATATGGCCTGTGTGGTCCACCAGAAGGACTGTAAACAGTGGTTTGCAGAACTAAATACAGACTTGGATCGCATCATGGAGATTACCCGCTACATCCTCAACTTGTATGACCTCTGGAAATCGTATGATGAACGCAAGGAAATTCAGACCCTACTGCAGAGGATGCCCAAACCCAACACCCAGCAGGTCCCTCGGTGATTAGAACTAAACATGTACAGTAATCTCCCCGTTAGCCTGAATCCCCGGTCCCCAGAACTCTCAGATAACCGGGTTGGATATTGAGCCTTCCGGGAAAACTCTCTCCATTCCGGGCATGGGAACGAGTTTCCGAGGATGGAATCATGCGTATTTTGTGAGAAAATCTCTCCAAACCTGTCCATTCCAGGCATGGGAACAAATTTTGCTGCTTGGGTAACTTAGGCCATAAGCTCATGTACTTAGTTCAGATTCTGCTGCCATTGTACAAGGTTGATCCCTCGCTCGCTGCTCTTTTAGTGTTGTGCAGTATTGTACATTACTGTACCAGGACACAATCAGCCAAGAATACAGTCTTAACACAGTGATAAGATGTAAAAAGTGATTACAGTTACGTATACTGTACTGTACATTTGGCAGAGTGGACAGTGTATGCTTACTGTAGGTTAGTGTGTAGAGGTGTATGTATAGTATACAGGGTGTGTACAATCTCTCCTTTATGGAGGTAGAGGAGAGTGACAGTAACACCTGCTACAGTAGATGGTACTGTACAGGACAAAGGAAGGCCATCCTGTATCATATTACCATTTGGCCTGCCTGCATCACACCACAAGCTCAAGACGACAGCATCTACTGGTGAGTACAGTATATACAGTACAGTAGTAGTATACATTATTTTGTTTTTTACAATAGCTATATTGTACTTGTACAGTGGTGTTTGCATAAATAAATACAGCTCTGTATCTGTCCATGCAAGATGCACAGTTTAGACTCTTGGAAAAATTTCCCCACACACATCCCCGGAAATATTCCAGGGATGTGTGCGATAGTGTCTGTTCATGTGAGATGCATAGTTTAGACTCGGAAAACTTACCCCAGTACCCGGAAAAATTCTGGGGGTGTGGGATTTTTTCTAGGGATGAGAAATTCGCCTCAATACCCGGAAATTTCTCATTGGTGGAAGAGCTCTGAACCAATTACTTCAGCTAACGGGGATATAACTGTATAATTCCTGTGATCAAAGTGTGAGGGCAGATTCAGCGCAAGTAAATCAAGACTTCTGTATCACAAAAAGACAGAAGAGAAGGGAAGTTAAAACTCAACATTTTGCCCTTGGAAATATTTATAATGCTTGTCTCTTGTCACTGTGACTCATGAACGAGATCTTTTCCATGTTGAAGGAGGTTAATATTTACCTCTGTACAGTATACAATAATTTATGTGATTTATAAAAACTCTGTCAGTGTATGTGAATGTGTGTGTGTGTGTGTGTGTATAAACCTTCTGTATGTTGCTCTCACCTTTCTATCAATAGTCTTGGATACCTTACCACTGTCTGTTCATTCAGAGGCATTACATTCAGATTTCTGATACATTACAGTGTACTTAGTTACTGACTTGTTCCTCAGCTACCGGTGTTATTTATGTTTTCTATGCAAGTCTACTGTTTTCTTTTCTTTTCACATAAATGAAACAACCTCATGCATTGTGAGCAACAATGTACGAGTGTGTGCGCTTGTGTGTGTGTGGGGAGGATTGTTGTAAAAAGATTAGCTACTCTTGAAATACTGTATGAACAATGTATCAAGAAAAGATAAAGAGTAGAAGTGAAGGAAAGGAAAGGCAGTAAGCAATATCAAGATAGCACAGTTCAATTCCTATTGCAAGTGGAAATATATATACAGTATATATATATACAGTATATATATACAGTATATATATATATATATATATATATATATATATATATATATATATATATATATATATATATATATATATATATATATATATATATATATATATATATATATGTGTGTGTGTAATGAGTTATTGCAAGAGATAAGAGTTGCCAGGAGTATAAAATTTTGTTACTACTCCTGTGATAGGGCTTCCATGGTGAATTGAAACCTATCAGCGACCAGTATTTGTAATATTTAATGCCCAGTTATATTTTGTAATAAGTCTGCTGTAACTTTTACAGACAGGATCACTTTAAGCCAAATAAGAGTGGAAGTAGTCAAGATAGAAAGCGTCAGTCACTGCTGTTTCTCCTCAGACAGTGAGGTAGCTGACCCACCATCACGCACCTCAGCTGATTCCTTCTTTGATAAGGTACTATTGGTATTAATGCATATTTTACCTTACCTTGTCCTCTCTCTTTTTTCTGTACATTCTATCATCTCTTCTCTTACTCTGACGTCTCATCAACTTTCTCCAGAAGAGATTAAATATTCAAATCCAATTTCGGGTGTATAATGTGGTTGGAGGTTTATACATAGAAGACATTAAAAAAATTTCCTCTCTGTTATCCGCTACTATCCCAGGAGGGGCACGCAGGAATACATGCTTTTAATCCATGCTTCCTAGGAGTTGTGGATATCAAAACTCGAATAAATAGCTTTTTAGGCTCTGACCAAACTTGACACGTGGATGTATGATGAAAAGATCTCACTCGAGGTCATTAAATGGTATTTCTGTGATATTTTTTTTCCCAGAGTTGCAGACGCTTAGACTTTTAGTCTCATCAGGGAACTTGTCTATCATTAGAAGGGATTCTTGTTCTACTTAAATATTTTCTACCTGTATTCTAACTTCCCTTCAGTCTTCTCTCTCTTCCATCCTCCCACCTGAGATGTTTTAAATCAGTTGTGGCATATAATTTTTCCAGACAAAAGTTGGAATTGTATAGTCTTCATACATCTAACTTGGCATAACATAAACTAACCTGGCCTAATCTCACCGATCTTAGCCTAATCCAACCCGACTCAACCTAATGTAACCTAACCCAACCCCACCTGTAATTACCACCTCAAAACTCCTTTATTTATTTATTCAGTACCTGTGTTGTTTACTACCCCTCATTAACACTATCTATATGGTTTTCATGAAGGACTTTGTTTTGAACACTTGTATATAAATGTCATAGTGTCGTAATGGTTGATACTTGCTTAGAAACATTTTTTCCCAGGGATGATGTATCACGATCTGTGTTCTCTGCAACACAGCAAATATATCAAGAGTTCTTTAGGTAAATATTTTAGGTACCGTAACAAAATTTATTTATTGTGTGGTTTATGAAATTATAAAATTTTTGTGAGCTCCAGAAATAGATTGAGTAAATTAAAAAAAAATATTATATACAATATACAGTATGTGTTTCTTCTCATAATTACCTTATTCTTGTTAAAGAAAGGAGAGTTCAGTTTAGCAACCACAAGACTGTGAAATTTAGAAAATAAGAGATTTGTGGGTGAAATACAGAAGTTTGCACTCATATAGAGATCACTGGATACCTTGAAAACTCTAATATGAAAACCTAAGAAGTGACATAAAGAAGCATGTAAAATAACACTGCTCATAGCTGGATGTTTTTTGCATAAACTTGCTAACAGACTTGGTGGAGCAGAAGTATATACAGTATGTAGACAGATGGATGGACAGGCATAACTTATAACTATTCCTCCCTCCATTTATACAGTACATGGTGGAAGCATAATGAAACAGGGTGTGGTACTGTACATGAGCAGTACTGTTTGTGCCTGTACGTAGTGTGATTGGTGATGTCATTACCTCACTGAAGTAAATTGAATGAATCCTTGGTTCCAACTGGCCACTGTGTAAATTGAATACACTTATTAAGCCTATGGAAAACTAGTGGTCCACAAGGCTTGAATGTTCACTTTGGATAGTAAATGATTTGGAACAAACATATAGTAGTACTCATAAGCTCAAGTATAATTGAGCCAATATTTCAAAGTCATTGAAAAATTTAACTTTTTAAGTACACCGTACAATATACAGTATTCTGATTTTACAAAAATTTTAAAAAATTACCATTAGAGAATTACAAAGTTTTAGTAATATTGAGCTGGTAGTTTTAAAAAAATTCAAAATGCAAATAATCTAGAGAGGGAAGGCTGATCATGGGAGTTGTGCAGATGGACTGAAACAGTTTTGTGACTTCTACCTCACAGTTCGACTTTTCTAAGAAGTCTTACTGTACTTATTAAGTCGAACATTCAATGGAGCCTTTACATATCAGATACTGAGCAGAAGAAGATCGAGAACATGGGTCAGTTGAAGTCTGGATATCCTGCTTCTGTACCTGTCACTGCCAGGCTTAATGATCACAGCACTCAGTCAACCAGCTGCAGGCTCACTTATAAACTTGGATTTCATGATCAATTCTTATTTTCTATACTGCATCTTGTTATTCTCAAGCACTCATATAAAACAAGAAGGCATTTTAAAATGTCCATATTACTACAATACCGAGATGAGTAAAGGAAATTAAATATTTCTTATCATTATTGTAAACATTTATTCATTAAAACATTTAAAAATCTCTACAAAACCTTATCAGTGTTGGCTACACCATCTTCTTATGCATTAATGGAATCCCATTGCCTACCCGAGTCCTTCCTCAAGTTGATGAAGTCTAAAAAGTTTGTTTTTGTTACTTTTGTATGACCTTTATAAGTGATCCTGTATAATGATGTACATAACCCTGACGGCTGAAGCACCTGAAACACAAACACCACACACAGACTGCCAACAAGCATCACAGATCATAATTTGAGTCAGTACACTCTTGTTTAAAAGTTCTCTCCACTCTGGGCTGGCTATGGTCCTTTGTCCCATCCCGAATGATAACACCCAAGTGACCATTACTCCCTTCACCACTGTTGTATGGGGACAGGCTCTGAGAGCCGCAGTGGGAAGACGTGGGTACCTGCAAGTTCTCACCACCGACATTCATTCCCATGGCCATTCCGCCTCCCGCTGCTGTGGCCGCTCCTAAAGGTATCGGGAGGCCGACTCCACCAGGGGGAGGAACTGGGACTCCCATTCCAATGCCTCCGTCGCCTCCGCCATATCCACCTCCAGAACTACCCGACACACCATTGACAGCATCAGCAGTTGCTCCTGTGAGATAACAGTAGTACAGTAACAAATAGATATTTTCTAAAGTCAAAGGTTGTTGGGTCTAAAAGTTCTAATTCTAAGAGGCAATTTTGCTAATTACATTTTACATTTAATAATGTCTTTTCTATTCATGAATTACATATAATTAACTGTACTGTACTTACCTGCAGGGGCAGACTGGGCCACTGGGACACAGAACAAAATCCTAGATGGACCAATGGGTTAGTTGGGGCCATAGCCACCTGGGACAATGGGCTGGTTGCCTTGGTACAATGCTATTTACTGTATCATTTCACCACAGTACCTGCTTACTAGTCATTCAGGCAGTTGGTGTTGACCTACCAAATGTGAATGTACAGTAGGTCAGTAACATCCTACCAAAGCAACCAGGCTACCAACCCACTGTCCCAGGCAGCATTAACCCAGTAGTACACTGTTCTGATCCACCCCCTTGAGCACAACTACAGTATGAATCTCCTTAAATTTACCAGAGCTACTGAACTCAATATACATACCACCCAGGAGCATTTCCTGCAGCAGATTGTCAATCCTCGCAACCCCAAAGAGTTTAGCAAACTGGATCTGTTCTATCATCTGCCAGGTGATGGACTGTAGTGCCGGGAGTGTGAGCAGGACCTCCCCAAACCTGCCCCGGGACTCATACTGCCGGTCATTAATGTAGTCCTCTAAGAGTAGTTGTACTTGATAGCGCAGAGCCTTCACCCTCTCCACATTACGAAGACCTCGAATGACTGAAAATTTTGCAGTGATATTATGCATATGTAGAGTAATTGAAAGCTTGTAATGATATTTTACATACGTATACAGGTATAAATGAAATGATGAAATGAACAATGCTATGATATTACAATGACATTCTGTTTATCACAGGAGGCGTTCTGCATTCTAATACGGTAACTTTTAATCCTTTCGTAACTGATTGTTGTACTTTAGGATTTTATTCAGCTTAGAGAAACCCCCAGAACCAAAGGGTTAAGACATATTGTCACAACAATGTACAAAAGCCCTCCCTAGCATAATTAATTAACTCCTTGTCATATCATAAAACCTTCAACCTAGAATAGTAACTTCGACTCACCTGGATCAAAAAAGACGATGGCTTTGAGACAAGCGTACTCCTGTTCATCCACCTGGACGCCCCGAAGTGGCTGTATTAGCTCGTCCATGACCCGCTGACCTATCCTACTCAACTCTATCTCTGTTGGCCAATGTAACAATGAGAAAGATACCATAAAAATTAATTATCTGGTTATATCTTTATATTATCCTAATTGTCACACACATTCCATCTCAATTCAGTCTTGATATATATCTTGTCATATCTTTCTCACTATCAGTCTTTACAATATCATTCTTTATATCATGCTTACCAATTCATTCTTGGCATCTTTACAATACTGTTCCATTCTTAAAAAAATTTCTCAATATCAGTCAGCCAACAATATCACTCTTATCAATAACATTCTTATCAGTTCATCCTTATCAATACAACTTTTATCAGTTCATACTTAACAATATCATGTTTATCAATATCATGCAGGTTACTGAAGTTAGTCACAAACACACACATTACTACAGTACATTCTAAAGATGGGGTCATATATTGTTTTATATCACCATAGTCTTACTCTGGGATCTTCAAGACTACCGTTATTCTTCCACTATTATGGCTACTAAATCTGTGTCAATAATGTATGGCTATAAAGGATTGGTATTAATATATGGCTATTGACTACTACTGACAATAATGATCTCAGTTTCTCTCTAACCAATTACCAACATGTATAATGACTTCTGTTACTTCCTCTAATCAACTATTTGTGGGGCTTATTCACTTTAAAGTTTACGGTTGTTTCTTAATTTGTATATGTTAAGGAGTCATGCTTGTGGTTGAAATATGACGTGATGCAATGCTGTTTTTGAAGCCTGTGTGTGTGTGTATATAAAGAAGATGTTAATGGCTTGTCCTTAATCTCAATATACTACAGTCAGGTCCATGTCAAATCTGAACACCTAAATTGACCCCTAAAATTGTTCTCACACACACACACACACACACACACACACACACCAATACCACAAACACACCAATACCACAAACACACATAAGCTTCAAAAACAATATCATATCATTTCTTAACTCCTTAAGACTCTCTAACCCTGTATACTATCAATTTCTCATGAACTTGACTACCGACAGAATCTCTCCTCATTCCAGGGATATAAACTTACAACACCTTTAGTCCTTCATATTGAGTTACACCAGCCCTTAAAGCAACTAATCCAGGTAACTAAAGCTGCTCTGCATAAAACCTACTTAACATCGATTTTGGTAAGGATATAGCTCGTGGATGCATCATGTAGTAAAACCGAACTTAACGTGGAGATCATGTTATACTTTACACTACTTTACTTACTTCACACTACTTTACTTTATTTTACTGTACTTATCCTTTCGAAATGGTTATGGTAATGTACAGTACTTGATATTTATAAGTGAGGCAAAAGTCAGACAAGTACAGTACTATACGTAATATGAAAAATTGTTTGCATCTCCTTACAATTCAGTACACCTGTTTTATTTATTTTTTCCATATCACAAGGTCTCGGTTAAAGAAGAGATATTTTGGGTCAGAACATCAGATTATTCTGGTTGTTATGGTGATGTGAATAATAGCTCCCAGGTAGCGATATTGGTTGTGATGCTTTTTATGGTCAACACACGTACTATGTCCAGATTCTTAAAAGGTCATACAATAAGTATTCCTCATGTTTGAAATTGAGTCAAATAAAGGTAGCGTAGTCTCTATGCATTCTTACATCTCGGTTTCAAGAAATTTTCATTGTACAGGCCTCAGTGAGTTTGGACCCAGGTAAGCACTGTCACGGTACAGACTAAGCTTGCTACAGTTAACTAAACAGTATTAGTCGATTTCTATGTACAGTAACTAAAACAACTATCTGTGCATACTTTGTGGGAAACAATATGAGACCATGGACGATAAAGTTTGGTATATGAGAGCTGTCACTAGTCACACGTTAAATTTCGGAGCATATCTACCCCCACCTGCACAGATAGTAGTTTTAGCTACTGTACATATAGCAGTAAGTGACAGTCTGATGAACTAGAAAACTTGCAAGTGATAAACAGGCTAAGTAAAATCTGTGCTTTTACCATGTCTGTTATTATGCATCAAGAAAAGATATACAAATATTAATTAAAGATCTGCTTAAATATGTGAGTCCAAACTTTTCTTCTGTACTAAATTTACCTCATCTTTACCTTTTTAATTCATAGAAAATCACTGTAGTGTACGGTACAGTATTTGACTTTCATATTGTGTAAGCCTAAATTTTTCTTCTGGGGTAAATTTTGCAAGTCTTTAAAACTTTTAATTTTAATTTGTTGAAAAAATAAATATATTTCATTAGTTTTACTCAGTTATTGTGTAAAGCCAAGAACAAATCACAGCTTCATCACCAAGGTCACTAATACCAGAGGAGTTCCTGAGGATGACACAGTCGTTGCCAAGTAGGATCATGTCTTGGAGGTTGAGGGAGCGCCAGGCAGCCCCCAGCAGCAGGTGTTCCCCTGCATGGGCCCGCAGCAGTGCCACCTGCAGGGAAGACAGCATGGTCACTACGTCTGGGCATGACAACTTAGGTCATTATTCCCGTGCATGATAATTTAGGTCACTACACCCATGCATAGCACTACACCTACACTTAGCAATTTAGGTTTCTACACTCATCCTTGACAATTAGGGTCACTACACCTACAAATAGTAAATTTGACCATTACACCTCCACATGGTATATTAAGGCAGTTACTGTAAAATTATTTAAGACAAACAGGTTAGGTATAGGTCAGTCACAGTAAGTGGACTTGGCAGATGAGTGGATTAGCCACTATACAAGGCACAACATATAGTCACAGCTCTGTAATCGACCATAATGATCTGCCCCATGTTTTTCCAGTCTTCTCTCAAAGTGAAACACATAATACATATAGGTACTCATATCTGGTGACTTAGAAAAGCACTTGCTCCTGATAGACAATACCCAAGGGTCCTTACCTAGTCATGAGGACAGTAACTAATGGATCTCAACTGACCAGGCAGTATTTGGGAAGATAGTAGAGGGTAGACCACAATAGGTAGAATAGTATTCAGGAAAGTAGTAAATGACAGGCAGTGCTATACTTAAAAGGGTCATATGTAATGGACAGTACTTAGGAATTGAAACCTAAGCTAAGCCAACTTAACCTAAACTAATCTAAGCTAACTTAACCTAAACTAATTAACCCAAATTAATGTAACCTGAAAACCTAATCAAAATTAATTAACTAACCTAACTTAACCTCACTTAACCTAACCTGGTCGTCGAGAATGAGGTCACAGAAGGAAGGGATGTACTTGGCCCACTCGACCAAGATGAGAAGCTGCTGTTTCATGCTGTCACACACGTCCATCACCCCGGCCACCTTCTTGTTCATGACACTTATCTCTCCCACTGCTGGTGAGAACTGCTGACAGGGAGTTATGAGTCAATTCAGGTTATAGTCAGGGAGAAGGTAAGAAGGGTCAACTTTGGTCACAGTCAGGGAGAAGGAGGTAAGTGTCAGCCCAGTTTACTGGTGGGGAAAGGAAGGAAAGGGTCAACTCGGTTTACTCGCAGGGAAAGGAAAAAGGGTCAACTCAGGTCACTCATAGGAAAAGGAAAGTAAGGGTCAACTCAGGTCACTCAGGGAAAGGAAGGTAAGGGTCAGCTAGGTCACATTCAGGGAGAAGGTAAAAGTCAACTTAGGTCACTAGCATGGAGAGGAATGTAAGTTGCTGAATGATAGTCTTATACAGGATATAGTCTTTTAAAATTAAGGAATCACATCTGGGGTTCACAGGTGTGTGTGTGTGTGTGTGTGTGGAGACGTTCATAGTGTGTCTACATATACAAATTAGTGTCACCCCAACTCTGAGCTCCTGAACTTCAACATTTACAAACCTTAGGTATGTTGAGGAAATGTTTCTTCCCTCAGTGCACCTAAATTTTTATACATGATTAAATGTAAGTTTTAGGGATTCAAGTAGGAAAGGCACTGATCTTTAAGGCAAAGTCATAATAAATGTCTTTATGCAAATATGTTCCAAATATATCATGCTATATTAGGCAAGCAACTTATCTGGAGGGCAGAGATACAAGCCACCACCTTAAAACACAAGGGCCCATCAGTAGGTAAAAGCACACATGTTAATTTCACACTTTTTTGTGATTGTTCGTGTTTAGAATAAGTCATTATCTACATCCCCTATACACTCATGTATTTATGTCATCTATCTACAGCTGTATCTTCCCGTTGGTGTTAAAATAGTCATATTGCACTGATAACTAGATCCTTTGATGGAAGGGAAATATAAACCGTATGATTCCTACAGATTTTGGAGCTACTGTACATCCTGCTAAATTAATATGGATGGTGGTCTAAATGTGTATATAAAAATTTTGCATGTCATGAAAAATATCTGATTTTTTTTTACTGTATATTAGTTATATATAAAATTAAATTAACATTATTGGTAGATTTAAAGTGTAGGTTCGCGGACCTAAAGTTACTGGGAGTATAACCGACCGGGCTCTGTGACAAGTTCTAGTTCGTTGTTTATTTGCTCTGTGCTTCAGTATTATTTGGTATTAATGCGTGTCTACAATCATCATTTGTGACACTACAGTGTGAGGGACAAGAAGCCAAACTTCAATTGTTATTTACAAGGCAGGGCAAGGTGAGTAAGTTGTTGCTTCTGTCAACCATTATCGCGGGAAGCTTAAAAAGTGACTTTTTAATTTTCTTGCGAGGTCTTACATATTGTTTTCCAGCAAACCATGTAGATGAATATTTGTTATTGTGGGGATTTATCAGGTCAGGTTTGAATTTTTAATTGCGGTTTCATGAAGAAATTGTATGACTAAGCAAGGAAACGTCAATATTACCGTGTATAGTTATATTACTTGCAACATTTTGTTAATAGTTACATAAGATTCATTGTTGATGTTTCAATGAACGCTACTTAATTGCTGACCTGCGTCCCTTACATAAAATTTGATTAATTTAGTTTTGTTAGAGCCGGGTGTACAAAGCTATGCGTGCTATAAGCATTTGTGGGAGCAGATACAAATTTACCATGGCACATTTAACCTAACATAATGATCCACCTTTTGCTGCACACTGCTGGATCAACACTCCACAACACAAATGGCAAGTAATCCAATGGGGAGTTAATGTGTATTAGAAAGAAATCAAACACGACCAGGAACTCGGGATGGCTTGGCGTAGTCATGTGACACATACACGGAGTAGATCATTAACTTCTGTTTATTTTGTGGCTGAGTTTAGTCAGCCTCAAACCTGCCTTTCTGACCTAACTGGGACTTTTTCACGTATGCAGGAAAACGTTGTAATCATCACCCTCGCTGTATTCCCTCGACCAACAGTACAGTAGAATATCGTGACATTAATGGCTTGGGGGAATGCCGAACCTAACCTGACAATTTAACCTAACCTAATTTAACCTGACAACTTAACCAGACCATAACTACTCTAACCTAAATTTAACGTAACCTAACCTGTCAACCTAATTTTAACAGCCAGGACAATCAAATCAATCATTTCATAACAGATATTGTCAACAGGTGAGATTATTCTAAGGCGTAGTGTTGTTATCGTCAAGGTCAGCTGTTGTTAGCCACGAGAGAGAAGACCTCCACGTGAGCTGTACAAAAAGTTTAATGTCATGGTGAGCGTTACGATATAAGATATGCTTGCCAACTCTTCTAAGGAACCCTGGGTAATAGATATTGTAGTTTATGCATGTGTGAAGAGGAAGGGAGAGAAACAATGAAACTAAGAGAGATGGGAAGAGAAATGAGTTTATATAAAAAGAGAGAGATAAGTACATGAAAGATAGAACGATCACACGGGAGTTAGAGAAGGAGAGAGAATGAGTGTAAGAGGGAGGAGGACCCACCTGACGAGAGAGATGCTCAGCGTTGAGGAGGGTTGTCAGCGTCATGCCTGTAGACCCCCCGGGCTCGTCATAGCTGGGGCGGCGGGTACTGATGCGGTCACGTTCATTCTGCACAGCTGTCAACACAATGCATTAATACTTTTTAAACGAAATGGTTAATGTTATTGTGTCAGTACGTTATGGTACTAATAAGGTTGAAATGCCAATAACTAAGAGTTGAATTTTGTCTGTAGCTCCAAGCCGTTAATAATATTCTGATATATTATTATAATAATAATAATAATAAC